TTTCTCTAATACTTTTACAATTGCTCTATTGAGTTCAACATATTTTCCTATTATTGTAAAGAACAAGCATTTATTTTGCACTTTTCCTCACTGTACATCAACATGCAGGTTTGTTGGCAGGCAGTCAACCTGCAGATACAAAGCATGTATTCTTAAACTGTATTATGTCCCCTGTCTAGTTTAGGGACTTTGTAAACTAACCCACACTACTCTAATTTTCAGTACTGGATCAACTCAATGAGGTATTGTGCAATTCATGGCCATAATGTTTTGGGCCTCAAGACAAAAAGATGCTGCTTTCATTTCAGCATATATATCGCTTCATCCCAAAATGCAGATTCAGTGGATTTCCTTGTAGACACTAGCTGGAGTATATTTGGTTTTCCTTTGAATCAAGAATCTCATGGATATGTCTACAGAATTTTCTTGGCAATACATGGGAAATGACTTAACATTCATTTTTATCTGCAATAGTTGTCCAGTCAAGTCCATAGCTCTAAGGTTTTCTTATAGTCACCCAGTCAAGCCTTATGACTCTGTTTAACCTTTTGGTATCAGCCAAGGTTGTCCAAAGCTGTCCAAAGCACACTGCTTTCTAGTAAATTCTGAATAAATGAAATGCAAATGAAGGGCGAAGTATTAACATCTATCTACAACCATTTGGATGGCAATTGTTATGATAAAACTCTGATTATCTTTAAATTTCATTCATTCTCCAATGGGTACGGTATTACAAAGTTTCACATAACTTCTGATTTGCCCCTTCACTTTTGCTATGAAATGGGACACAGTAAGTCTTGGTTCAAAAGTCCTTAGAATCTCACCTACTGGTTTAAAATGGAAAATTTATGAACCACAAAGAATCTTCAATAAAGGCTTGCTTAAATATATGCTGGCTTTTTGTTAACAGTGAACCTTAAGTTGCAGATATGGTATTTAGTCCTACTGCTAAATAATACGGTATGAATGCTTGATACTCCCATACTGTGAAGGCTAGCCAAATAAGGTACAATTATACCTTCTTTGTTGGGTAATTGTTAGCCTATGAAAGGAATTGAGGGGGAGGAAAAAAATCCCTACTGCACTGTGACAAGAGGTTTGAAAAGTTTATTGTGGTTTTTCTTTGAAATGTATTCAGGTTACAATGGAATCATAAGGTCCTGGAGAAGCAAACAGTAGTATGTATTGGGGGGGGAGTGAGAGTTTGGCTTGCATGTTGAGTCTGAATCAATTAAATGGATGCCCTGTACTTGGAGGGAGCACTTAATAGCAATAAAGAGGGGGTAGGATCTATGCAAGAGAGCTCTGCAGAAGAAGCCCTGCCTGGAGAAGAGAGAAAGAAAGAACTTGTTCTACAAAAATACACGAGAACATCACGATTCTTTATTAAGTATAGGAACTGAGAGCACAATTAAATCAAGGCAAATGGAAAGGAAGTAAATGAAAGTGCCTATACTGAATAAGGACAACTGTGGTTATTTAAAACAGTGAATGAGTGGCATGCAATTCTTAAGATTTGGCAAAACATTCTAACAAGCAATTGCAGCTATGTTATTATCTAGAACAGTGTTTCTCAGCCTTGAAGTATATGGACTTTAATTCTCAGAATTCCCCAGCCAGCTGAAATAATCATGTCTTTTTTGGGAACTCAAGAATTCCAATATTGTAACAGAGGGAGTTTCTTTGATCATTCTGGGTGCTGTTGTTGCTATTTATTTTAGTTCAACAAGATCCTTTTAAGGTCTAGCAATGGCAACACTTTAAAGTATACTGGACTAAGAAACAGGCACCCAGAAATTCCAGGGATTATTGTGGCAAGAATAACAGAATTTTGTCTGTCCCAATTTATACTAAACATAATCAAGGTGGGACTATTTTAAGTTTGTTTCTCTTGCTTTTCTTTTTCTCAGGATTGTGGAATCACAAACCATAATTGTGGCAAATCATCACTACTAAATTAGTATCCCTGGAATGGCTGGACAACTTGATAAATCCCTAGGGCAGAAATGCCCATTATGGAAGCTTTGTTTTCTGTTATTAAATTGGCTGTATAGATTTTCCCCATAGATTAACCACATACTTGATCAACATTTTCCTAGAACAGTTCACTGCAAAATTTCTTTTGTGGTTAGCAATCAATTCTAGCAGTTAAACCACATGGCAGTATACCAAGAGAGCAGTGTCAGAGATCAATGTTATGATTGTTCACTTTTAATATTATTTGTTTTTGCTGTCTCAGAATTAGTCTTATTTTTTTGCATTGGTAAACAATCATAATAAAGTTAATTTGACTGGCTGATTGGTTGATTGATGGACCCTACCAGAATATGCATGAAGCTGTGAAGTTAGGGTTTCTTTCCAAAAGATCCTGATATCCTCTTTGGTCTCAACAGCTAGAAGGCTTTCCCCTTCACTGCATCAAAACATATTTGCAATTAGAAACCCAGTTTAGTGTATTGATTAAGATCAAGCCCAGCCTCAGCCAATAAATCTACCAGGTGATTTTGGACCAGCATCTCAGCCCAATCAGCCCGTACAAGTTATTCTGGTGGGGGAAAATGGGAAAAGATATTTATGTTGTGATGACTTCTGAGGAAAGGCAGGATATACATCTGGGGTCAAACAAATAAACAATAAATTAAAACAGGTATTTTTGCAGTTCTTTGTTAACTTTACACATTTAATGGTTTTCTGCTATTTCTAGAAATATTGCAGAGAATACACAATGTTCAATTTTGTGTATAGAAAAATAAATACCAAAGTAGAATACTGCTAGCAATTTACAAGCTTGTTCTAACCGAGTCCCACCAGGACAAATACTTGACCTTTCCAGTAGAGGCCAAACTGACCAATAAGCAATACCAATTCCTTTGGCACGCTTGAAAATTCTATTAGTACATGCAACAAACCTAAACCACCCCAGAAGAACAAGCCAAAGATCATTCTTCTGACTCCCCCCCCCCCCAAAAAAAACCATGTTTGATCAATGTAACCTGCCCAGCAACATCCCAATGCTAGTGTTGGAGGGATCCACCAGATATCCCAGAAGATAATCAATGGCTGTAAAGCACAATACTACACAAGGCACCTGTTTAATACCATGCCAAATCTGGTGCTCAAAAAAACAAATGGGAAAGAAGACTTTACTTTTTAAAATACTTTGGGAAGTGTTTGCTGTTATATTTGTAAAATGCTTTTGCAAAATGCTTTCCTGATTCCATAAAATTCAGATTTTTCACTAGCAATAGCAATTACTATGCTGTTTGTCTTGAAACGGAGAATTGTAAACATGTATGTACATACGTACTTATGTATATATATGAATAATAAACACACGTGCACACACAGAGCAAGGAAATTCTTAACAACATACACCTTGGAAACACTGATGGTCTATTGTCTCTGCTCTTTAACTGAGAAAAAAATCTCAGTACTTTTCTATTAAGACCTATAGTAGTTTTCTTCACAGTCAAAGAGGCTCTAATATTTTGAATCTCAATTGCAGTCTCAAAGAGAATCCAAAATCATCACTTTAAGTAGGATCACATCTGATTCATATAGACTTAATAGAGATGCTGTTTGAAGTTACAATAGCATTGAAAAAAGTGACTTAGGACCATTTTTCTCATGACTATTGCAGCATTCCTGTGGTTATGTGATCAAAATTTGGATACTTAGCAACTGGTTCATACTTATGACAGTTGCACTATCCTAGGATCATGTCATCCTCTTTTACAATCTTCTGACAAGCAAAATAAATAGGGAAGCCAGATTCACTTTCTGTATTACTAACCTAACTGCAGCGATTCACTTAACTGTGGCAGGGACATAAAATGGGGCAAAGCTCACTTAACAACTGTCTCGCTTAGCAACAGAAATGTTGGTCATAAGTTCAATTGTGTATCAGCTTTGGAAGCCATATTAACACTGGAAGCTTCCACACTGCCACCTTCTTGTGCTTGAGAAATTAGGAGGGGGATTTAGTAGAGGGTAGTGAGACATAATAGCTATTATGTAATTAGACATAATAGCATTCTTTTTTGGTCAAGGTCATGGTATCCCTCCATCTGGAGGAGGAGGGTGGAAGTGGTGTCACAAGTTGGGACAAATGGTGAGTGGACCATGTGATGGACTTTTGGGTTTTAATTGGAGTTGGATTCTTCTGGAATGCTGACATTGTGGTCATAACTTGAGGACCTGTAGTAGATTTAATTTCAGGAAAGCAGCTTCTCTACCAATGTTAAGGGAGGGGGAATGGGCAGTTGGACAGATGGTGGGCTCCCCTGTGCTTGTAGAGAATGGACACTTGGGATTCCTGCTTCGACCTAAATCAGCGTTTTTCAACTTTAGCAATATTAAGATGTGTGTGCACACTTCAACACCCAAATTCCCCAGACATCTAAACAGTATCTTGCAGCTGTAGGATTCTATGAACAGTAGCACACAGTACATTCGGAGGCCCTCGAGTAAGTTGTCTTTCCTAGGTGCCCTCACACCTCATGTTTCGAAGGTGGAATTCAAAACTACCTGCAGACCCCTCTCGTTTGAGTCCACAAATGGGCGGCCCTCTGCCCAGGCTCAGCTGGAGGCTCCGCTTAATCGGAATTCTAGAAATGCTGAACAAGAATCAAGCTTCTAGTTCCTGAAACCGGTAAAATATTCTCCAATGGCAACGGAGAGAGGCCCTGCTGGCTCTAGCGCTGTTTAAGAAAACCAGTTAAAGGAAACCAAGTTAAAAATTTAACCGAACTTCAGGCAGGGCTAAAATCCTTCTTCTAATCTGGACCTCTCGCAGATTCCAAAGCCCATTGACAGAGATCGCGCCTGTCTGTTTCGCCTCTTAGTTTGGTCTCCCAAGTTCGCTTCCCAGTTTCCCCCCCCCCCTCCCCACCGCAACTTGGAAGCGGCTGCAGCAGAACTCCAGGGATAATTGAGAGCGTGCGGACGAAGCTGCATCGACGCCCCGCCTACCTTCCCACGCTGCTGCCGGATCGAGGGAAACCGGATTCGGGAGCTTTGGAGTCGCTGCGCTTGTGCTGGCGGATAACGAAGACCGGCCGATTGGGCTTTCTTCCTATCTTATTCCAGGTCAGTGAAAATCAACCCATGCGCTCCCTAACTCCTTTATTTCTGTCTTGATACGGGGGCTGGGAGAGCGGTGTGGCCATTTGCCTTTCCAGCCAAGGGGTTTTATCTCCCTCCTTCGTCCCCTTTCCCCCCACTTTTCTCAACCCCATCCTAAATAGAATAAAGTCCGCCTTGTGCCGCCTGGATAGCGTCGTTTTTCTTTCTGTTGGGATTTACCCATCACGCTGAATTATATGTGGCTTAACGTACCGTTTAAACCCTAATGTTGAGAATCCTAGACCCGGAGCTATTCAACAAGCCATAGTTTAGAGCGCGACGGGGAAGCGTTTCAGCTAAAAACGCTATACCTCCGGGGATTTTTGCGGGTTTAAATTAGCACAAATCCCGAACGTATCTACAAAGAACTAAGTTCCATTTAGTTGCGGGGAAGGGACTAAGTAATGAGTTATATAACAACTCATCTGTTCTTCATACCCATCTTTCATGAGCAGGATACATAGTAGCCAGAAGTTATGGGTATTGTAGTCTGGAATTTTTGGAGAACATAGAGTAGGGTTGCATTCATGACTTTCACAGAGGAAGGCAGGTGTTTACACATTAAATTGGTGCTCCCTGACAAAAGGTTAGGTAGCAAGAGAGAAGATAGTGCTGGACAATTATGTTAATAAGACAACATGATTGTGGAGTAAAGACCTTATCTGAGAGCAGATATAAAGAAAGAAAAGGTGGAATAATTATAGAACTCTTTTTCACTGCTAATGCTGAGAATCCTGTGCCTCCAAGCATCTCCAGTTTAATGCACCAGACTCCAATGGTATCCAAATCCTCTTGATTTTTTTTAACTGGGTGGAAAAAGAACATGTGACCTTGAAAGGATCCCCTTGAAGATGTTGGTGGCTGTAGGTGCCAAGGGAAGAGCTGGAACTGTAGAACTCTGAAAAATACAGTGGATATTTGTTAGGTTGTCAAGCCTTACAGATGCTTGAAATAGATCGTTGAATTGTATAATTTATGAAAGACTGTTTAAAAAGAGCAATGTTGGTTTGGTTTATAAACTGTCTGGATTTGCCTTTTGAAAATACCTTGAATGCTCTTGGCAGAAAATACATTTTTCCCTCTGGTTTGACCATGGGAGCTTCTGTAGGTGGATCTATATATGCAAGTTGCTATATTAGCCAATGCATTTAATTATTACTTGCTTATTGTAGCCATAACTATGTGATTTTTATCTTTCCGTTGCACGTATTTAAAAATAAGTTTTGTGGAAATTCACTAGGTCTAGATCTAAATGAGAGGGTTTAGAAGAGTTACAAATCTTTATTGAGCCACAGTCAAATGAATTAGTGTACAGCACCTGGGAGTGCCCAAATGGATTGAATTCTTAAACTTATTGGCTCAGAATTTTGAGAACTGCTGAGAGGAAGCCTATCTTAAATCAATATGTTATTCCCAGTTTATTCACAGAAAGTAAAGTTGCAAAAATAAAAGGATTTCCATGCCACTGGATTCACATCAGCTGCTGAACTCTCAGTTTTGTTACTAAGTACTTGTGTACTTTTGTATTAACTACACACGTACTTAATAACATTTGATTGTGTAATTTCTGCTTTCCAGTTTTAAACCTGAATTAGAGCTCCTTTAACCCATCACCTCTCTAGCTAATCACTTCTAGTATTGAACGGCTCTTCACATAAGGAAGTCCCCTAACATTTAATCAGAATAGAATTCTTTATTGGCCAAGTGTGATTGGACACACAAGGAATTTGTTTTAGGTGTATATGCTCTCAGTGTACATAAGGAGAATAAAATACATTCATCGAGAATAAAAAGATACAACACTTAGTGATAGTCAAGGTTACTAATAAGCTATCAAAACATACTAGGAAACAAAAACAATATAAATTGAAAGATACAAGCAACATGGTGTAGTAATAAGTGGGAAGTGATAGGTACTAGTAAGGAAGAGAATAATAATAATAATACAGTCTTAGTAGAATCTACCTTCTTAAAACTTAAAACCATTATTCTATATTCTACACAACCTGGAAAAATAGAAACTAAATATTGATCATCTTCAGTGTGAGATCCTTTTAAGTACAGGTAATCCTCGACTTACAACCACAATTTCTGATGCTAATAGTAATTCTGTTGAAATGGAACTAATACTAGCTATGATTTAGAAGCTATACTTCACATACCCCATTGCATTTTATTTTTTGTAGCATTAGCACCCAGGATCATTCTCACTTTGTAATCAACAATCCAAGATCTTTTATGCAAGTACTTGTCATCAAGCCAAGTATCCCCACCCTATATGCATTTGTTTTCTGTTTCCCAAGCAAAATAGAAAAGTAAAAATTAATCATTTGTCTTCTATTAAATGTCATTCTGCTATTTTCAGCTTATTTTTCTTAACCTATAAAGACTGTTTTAAATGTTATTTCTGTCTACTGGCTATCCTACCTAAGATGGTATCATCTGCAAATTGGTAAGCATTCCCTCTACCTCTTTCACCAGACTATTAATAAAGAATTGAAGAACAAGATAAACCTACTACCGTAGTACCTGACCCAGTATTTCTGTATGATATTTGAGATAGCTTTGTATCCACTTAAGTGTCATGTCATTTAATCATCATTTAACCAACTTCATTCAATCAGAATTTCATTTTTTTGTAATATATTTTGCTAAAATATACAAGTGCATCCATAGCATTCCCACTATCTGCCAAATTAATGTTTAGATTAAAAATGTTTTTAATTTGAAAAGACTGGTGCTTAATAAATTCAGGCTGGTATCTAATAATTACCACTTTGATCTCTGGAGGTTTGAAACAATCCTTTTATGATGTGCTTTTAAGGTCAAGGATTAATGTCAGGTTGATTGGTTTACAGATTCTTGGATCCCCTTCCAGGTATTCATTTACTTGGATTTCTGAATATCGGTGGATACTTTTAACACTTATCCATTTCCATTGTCTCTGCTTGTTTTGAGCCCTTTTATCTTGCTGTACTCAAATCAGAATAGTCATCCCATCAGGTTTCGCTTGCCACATAACATGTGCACATCATGCACATTAAATATTGTCCTTTCTGGGCTGCATTCTAGTTTATTTTTTTCATTTTGCACACATTCTGTGCATTGTTATATATACTTTTAATTCCATTATCTTCATGAGCTAATTTTCTGATTTTATATAGAGTGGATTAATATATTCCATGAAAGCCACACTCTTCCTTCTTTTTATAGCATGTAAGTCTGTTGTGTATCTGAGATACAGTCAATCTCATATTAGCAGTCCATCAATCTCAGTAATTAAGATGATAGTCTCCGAATCCAAATATATCCCATAAATATTATTAGCTAAACAGTAATTCACTTCTTAATATTCCTCTTTTCTTTCCCAGTCATGTCCCAAAACCATTTGAGCCCCTAGATTAGGATTTCTCAATATAGCATCTTTAAGCTGAGAGAACTTCCAAACATTGCCCTAGATTTTGAACTTCTGTTCTGGACCTTCCAATTCCATATAACGTGATTATGGCTGTTTCTTTCAGTATCATTTGATCCACATAGAATAGCAGGAAACGATAACTGGATTCCATTATCATAGGACTTCAATATACTTTTGAAATCATTGTTACATTTTTTTTCTGTGCTCCAGGCAGAAAACATGCTTTTTTGTAGCCCAGAACCCGATTATTCCAGTTGGCATGCCTTTGTTTTGGCTCCTCATGCTAAGGTGCTATCAAGTATCAGGACACTCTGTCTTAAATGCAATCACATCTCCTCTGCCCTCTAGGATTCCCTCATTTTGCTTCTTGTTCCTTTTTTTTTTACTTCCTTGATAGCTCAAAGTTGGTATTCCTAGTAAATCAACCATTACTGTGCCACTATATCACTGTCAAAGACACACTTTATAATACTGCAACAATGGCTTGAGATTACCATAAATCACTAGTGAGGAAATGGTTTTAGCTCTCAGGTTAGCCAAGCACAAACTTGACGTAGAGGGAAAATTTGTTAAGAACTTCCATAAATTCTTCTGTTGAACTCCACTGCCAAGCTCCTATTTCCTCTTCCTGTTCAGTAGCTCTTGAGCAAATGTAAACATAAGCAGACACATAATCAGGCTTGATATGGGGTACTTAACATGATGTACCTGCATCTAATAGTTTTGGCATGGTTTAGTAACTAAATTTAAATTGAGTGAAGAAAGAAATCTGTGTCAAAATTACATTGTTTTTTTCTCCAACAGCAGGGATCTTGCAAGCCTCCAGATGCTGCTAAACTGTAGTTCCCAGAATTTTAAACAGTGTTCATACTAATTGGAACTACCAAGACTTGGTGTTCAGAAACATCTGGATGATCTTTGTTCCCTAATCCTGTAGCGTGTAGCCTTTGCCAATCTTATATGTTGTTGTGGAAATAAGTCAAGCCCCGAGGTCCTTGGAGGAAAATGGATGGATACAGAAGCCTTTACTAAATAATTTAGAGGTGAAATGACTAAACAAATAATTCAGTAGGTACTTCTATGCTATCTCTATGTTTATTGCAAGTCTGATCTTTTAAAAATAATTAAATAACTTTTAAAAATGTATTCAGTTGAGTATACAGTAGTCTTTAGAAATGTGGTCTGGAGGAATGATTGCTACAGACACAAACAAGCTTTTAACAGTGGTGTGTGTGATGAAATATGATTTTGTGGGGGCTTTTGGCTGCAAACAACAATGTTATGGGACTTGCCTCTGACAGAAGAACACATATTAGATCCATCTATTTGGAGAAAGCTCTTATAAGCATGTCTATTGCCGGAGAATATTACAGTGTTTATTTGAGGTGTTCTTTTACTTGTTGCCTCTTTATTTCTCTTATTCTGACATCCCTAACTTATGAGAAGTTCAGAGTTTGAAGGCGGTCATCTGGGGTATGGAATCCATACCTTGCTTAATGCAAGAATCTAAATTAAAGCATTCCTCTGTCCTTGATATGAATAATTAAGAGAAGCCATCTTCCTAAACTGTTGATTAAGCCGTTCTTATTGTTGAGAAGTTATTTTGTAAAGTTCAAGTAGATTTAGACTTTTCAATAACTTTATTCTATGTACCTGCATTGTGGTATAATGCAAAGCGGGTCTTGACCTCCTTCTGACAGCCTTTCAAGCACTTGAAAACTATATTTTCTCTCCTTACTTATCTTTGTTGTCAGTCATGCTCACTTCACACCATTTCCTGTCATGAAGCATAGATTCCAGTTCCCTGATTCTCTTTATCTTCATTGAACTGATTGGTCTAACTTTGTAAAGTACGGTGCATATAACAGAATGTAGTACTCAATATACCAAACAGACTGGAACAGATACTATCTATGACTGTAATGAGAATAACAAAGACTACAGTCAGATAGGAGAAATCTGACTCCAAAGCAGGAATGTAATTTGAGAAAATTCTCAGACTTGACCCTCCCTAGTTCTCTTAAACATAAAGGCAAGATTCTGTTACTGTAACCTTATAATAAAAACAGTATTAACATTCATAACTTTGGTCTTCTGGTTGGACTATTCCAAAGGGCTGGCAGTGATTTAGAAGAAGTACTTCTTTCGATGCAACCTAAAACAGCAGTTCCTCAGTTTAGAACTGAGAAATAAGTGCTCTCTTTTAGGATACCCATATCAAAATTTAAGTACTTTTGACAGATCCAAGGGAAGGCAATGTGTAATCAAAACTAAAATTTCTAGGTAGTCTTATATTCTAAAGAGTCCCAACACCTGGGAGAGAATTTCGTTTTAATCTAGTCCTTGAAAATCTAATTGCTTTGAAGATAGGGTTGAACAGAAGCAGAAGTAAGAGCAATTTACTTAATTGTGAAAAGTGCAGCTGTGCTGCATAGCTATTCTTAATTCAAGGCTAAAGTCAGAGTGTTTGATTATTATCCTTTTCTTGGATTTTTTTTTATTTGTTAACCTAACCAATGGATTTAGGACTTCCTGGAAGTCTTTATTCCAGAATAACTCTGATCCTATTCTGCTTAGTAGTTTCCAAGTCCAGAAAAGGTTACGCAGGTGTATGATATGGAAATAAGATAAATACATATGTGCCAAATTATTTTTGTATTGTAGTTCAAAGTGTAATTCAAAATGAATCTTAAATAATTACAATTTTGCATCTTGTTTCCTAGTTTAAGCTCTTTTTTACTAACTTTATAAATTGATAATTACCTTGCCTTATTAAAGTTCCTCTAACATAATGTTTATGAACCAGTTTGATATAGTGGTTAAAGCATCAGGCTAAAACTGTGAGACTGTGAGTTCTATCTTCGGCACAAAGCCAGCTGGATAATTGTGTGCCAGTTAGTTTCTTTCAGCTCTAGGAAAAAGGCAATGGCAAACCACTTTTGAAAAACCTTGCCAAAAAACCTGCAGGAACCTGTCCAGGCAGTCTCCTACAATTGGACATGACTGAATGGGGAGGGGGCGGGACATATATTTTCCTGATAAAATAAGTGTCTCACTCCTCCTAAATATTGTTGATTGACTCTTGTTCTGAAAAATAACATTTAAATTTTCTACCATCTATATTCTATCTATTTCTGTTTAAAAGCAGCTATCTAAAAAAGATGGAGCCAGCCAGCAAGTAGTTGATTTGAATTAATTCATTTCAAAATGCAATATTGGGTTTATGACTATTTTTATCCTGTGAATGCATTTTCATAGAGATGTATCTTTTAACAATAAAAATAATGAAGTAAAATATTGGACAGTTCATTAAAATGTCTGGTGTAGTTGTGTTGTTATTTCAATCCATGTTTGGTGTGGTTAAATTAAAAAAGTACATGACTGATAACATGGGGAGAGTTAAAGGTCATGGGGGAGTTAAAGGTCACAAAATGGATACGTTTACTTCAGAAAACTGGGCAGGTATGGAAAAGGAAAGATCGATAACCTTTATTTGGGAGAATTTTCCTGATAAAATTTAGCCATTTAGCTAAACAGAAAAAAAATATTCTTGCTATTCTTTACAGGAGCAAACTTGCCTTGACATAGGGAGTAACCCAAAGAATGAAATAACAGCATGTCTTTATTGTGATATGTAAGAGTACATACGTGACAATCAATGCATGTATGGGGCCACTGCCGTATTCTTTGAGTCCCCTGTGCATATCTAGATTTCCTATTTCTAGTATCTTCAACCTTCCTGTCTAAATTTCCTAAAGCTTCAGTTAAAAGAAAAATCTAATTTCATCCAGGAGTGGGAGCATGCCTCAAATATTTTTCCTAGAGGATGTTGATTAGTAATAGCAAGTTTTTCTTTGCAGAACAAGCCCCAGACACAGATGACTCAGTTTGGAGGCCATTAATGAGGTAAAGAAAGAGCTGCTTAAAATAGTTGTGGAGCATTATGCAAAAATATAAAGAGCCCTCCTGGATTATACCAAAAGGCTTTTTAGATGAAGCTCCTGTTTCTCAAACTACTGTATCTAACCAGGTGTCCTCAAAGGGTCCATATTTGTGACATGTGAGCAATAAACATTAGCAACCAGACTAGTTGCTTTGAGATCTAAGAAACCATAGTCCAGAGGGACTTTCTCTGGCAAAAAGTTAGCTGGTGCTCCACACTATCTATAGGTCATTTTAAATTTTAAAGTAATGAACTTGTTAGTTGTGACTGCAGGACCCTCTTGTTTCTGGTAGCACCATTGGCAACTTCTTTGCTGCCAGTTGCATATAATGATGTTGTGCATCATGTCACTTACTGCTTCTCAGCCATAGATAGCATAATATTTATGATCATCACATTAGGTAATCAGATCTTCAGTTGGTATCAGAGACTATTGTTTAAGAATGATGCAGAAAGGGTTTTTTGTTAGATAGATGCTTTCTCCAGGAGAAGAACAATTACTCAAGAACAAATTCTTAATAGTGATAGAAGCCAGATAAGAAGAGTTTTACTCTGGAATATATATTTATTTATTACTGAAATTGATATCTTAAGGATGTTCAAGCCTTAAATCCTGTAATCTTCTGAAAATGTAAAATGAACCTGCTGGAAAAGTTGGGCCTAACAAATCCAGACTTTGGATACCATGAAAGAGTGCATGGCTTGCCCACTCTAAGCTATACTAAAGATCCCCATAATATATTTCTAGGCTTTCTGAATAAATAAAGATAAAGGATAGCACTAAACACTGTTTTCTTTGAGAGTATGTCTGCTTGTCCTGAAAAACACCTGGTTAAAAATTGGATGTTAACTCTTTCCTTTTGCCTTAATAGTCGTGTTTCTCCAAATCCCTAATTCTTAATTTTTTTTTCACTTTTGTAATTTATATCAGAGGATTCTGGAAATTGAAATCCACATGTTTTAAAGATGCCCAGGCTGAAAACATTGCTGTATACATCATAATACATAGATGTGCTAGTATATATTAGTACTAATAGAGTAGGGTACAGTTTTTACATTGTACAAAATTCATATAATAAATGTTACATTCGGCAGTGCAAGCTTGCTTATAGAGGTTGTTTTTAAGTATACTTTTTCCTCTGAATAATACAGACTGTACAGCTATGTGTAGTTGCCATGGTACAATTATGACACAAATAGAAAGGGGGGAAGTTAAATATTTCAAGGTTTTAAGGTTAAGTATAACGGGATCCAATTGTTCAAGGCTAAATATCATGGGAGTCTACAGCTTCTGCTGCCTATCCTACTTCCCTTGACTCACAGCAAGGTGGGGGGGGTGAACATGTCCTCCATATGTCTTGCAGAAGAATAAACTGCAGAGATGGGTGACATTAGCATGTGTGAAAGGAAGTGAGGGGGAGGAGGATAGATGAAATAACAGAAGTTCTCTGAAAATACAGTTCAGGCAACAGGTTTATGATGAACTGTAGAAATTCTATTCTAATAAATTCTAGATCAGAAAAAATGGTAAAATAATGACCTTCATTTCATCTTTGAGGAATTCAGAAGATCAGAAATTGCATGCAGGTTTTGAAGAGGTCAAGTACATGAGATGGAAGAGGTCCAAGTACATTATATGAAGAATTTTAGTCTTCAAAAGCTTTAGTGACAAATAGGAATAGCATGGGATTGTTAGTACTATAGTAGATGCAATTTTATGGGACTAATATGAAACCTAGCCTCAAAGTTAAGTACTTAACAGAATAACAGAGTTTGAAAGGACCTTGGAGGGCTTATCGTCCAATCCCCTGTTCAAATAGGAAACCCTATACCATTTCAGATAAATGGTTGTCCCATCTCTTCTTAAAAACATTCAATATTGGAACACCACAACTTCTGGGGGCAAGTCATTCCATTGATTAATTGTTATAACTGTCAGGCAATTTCTTCTTAGTTCAGATTCAATATCTCCTTGATTAGTTTCCATCCATTAGTTCTTATTCTGCATTCAGGTGCAGAGGTGACAATATTTAAATGGTGGCAGCCCCTTAGATATTGGAACACTGCTATCATGTTACTCCTAATTCTTCTCTTCGTTAAATTAGACATGCTCAATTCCTACAATCGTTCTTCATATGTTTTAATCTACAATTCCCTAATCATCTTTGCTGCTCTTCTTTGCACTCTTTCTAGAGTGTCAGCATCTCTTTTATATAATGGCAACCAAAACTGGATACCATATTCCAAGTTTTCTTTTACCAAGGCATTATGACGTGGCATTAACACTTCATGTGATCCTGATTCTATTTCTGTTACTGCAATTTAGAAATGGGTTGGCATTTTGGCAACTGAACAAAAATGCTGGCTCATATTGAAGTGTCTAGTAGGACTCCAAGATCTCTCTCGCAGTTTCCACTATTGAGCTAGGTACTACCTATTCTATACCTGTGCATTTGTTTTTTCTTGCCTAAATGTAAAACCTTACTTTTTTCACCATTGAATTTCCTTTTGTTAGATAGGGTCCAGTATTCAAGTCTGTCAGGATCCTTTTGTATCTTGAGCCTGGAGTGTTGGCTATTCCTTGGTATTATCTGCAAATTTGATGAGTTTCCTTTCTATCCCCTTGTCTTGGAAGTCGAACTACTTGTAATCAGATCAGATGCTGAGAAGATAGGGTAATTTTTTAAAAAAAGTTTCAAAGAAATAAATGACAGGCTGCTTTTACCCATAAAAATTCATGGATGCAATCATCATGACCAATTGGACCTGATGGGCATATTTGTGTCATTGGTAGTGATACTTGGGCTTGGAACTAAACAAAGTCAGGATTGGCTAATACCTGGACAAAAAACTGTAATGGAATATTAAAGGTGATGGAGAGGTTGAGAAATTAAAAAATCATCCCAGAAAAAGGCAGTGGTAAATCTACATTGCTGCCAAGAAAACTGCATGCATCATCATCAGGAATCATTCCAATTTAATAGCAGGTATGAAAGAACTTTAATCAAAACTGTGATGAAGTAACATAGTGGTCACAAATAAAATTGCCTCACTTATGCTTTTTTAAAGTTGTTTTATAAAGTAATGAGGTTTTTAGTGGTGCATTACACACCTTACTTAATTTGGTTGTTGTTTCATAGTGATCATTCTTATTTTCATTTTGAGATGTGTGTTCAACAGACCAATGAGGAATGAATGACTTGATGGCAGAATCATGAAAGCTACTGAAGGGTGGAGCTATGGACTGAGATTGGTTTTTGCTGAATTGGTTTGTGTCCCTATATTATTTGTTTTAATTAGTAGCTTCCATTTAAACAAATACTTGCTTATTTTCCCAGATTACTTGATTGAATGGAATAATTACATTTAGTAAAGGAGGATGTTAGAAGTCTGAAAAAGGGGATCAGATAATGAGGAGAATATATTGAATCTTTATTCCTACATCTTGAGAGAAGCTTCTTTCCAAACTCTCTAATTAGAAATGTCATTAATCCACATGACATTTTTGTGTGGTTTTTTTTTTTTTTTTTTGAATGGATAGAAATCTGTAATTCATTCTATTTTGTGTTAATTATTGGGAAAAGTACAATGTATAAAAGTAAAATTCTTTCTGGAAAGAAGATGGTTCACAGAATGCTGCATAAGGAATCCAGCGTATAATTTGACTTGACTTTCAGGAAGAAATTTGACTTTCTTATAACATAAGAAAAATAGATTGACAAATATATGTTCAATATGAACATGGTCTGGCAGCAAAGTTGGCATAGAAGATCAACAAATTCACTCTATCGAACAACCACAATGTTGATAAAGGATTAGTCAATCAATGTAATAGAGTAGTTAAATTCATCATTGCTATTCTGCTATACATGAACATTTAGTATTTGGCCAATGATCTTTATCTGATGGCCTCTAATGTATGAGATTACAATTCCTACAATTCCTAAACAAGATATTGAATAGATTAATTATTACTGTTTCATTTCCACTGAATTATATGTTTAGAATGCAGAAAAGGGCATAATCATAACATCCTCTCTTAAAGCCTTCTTGAGTTAATCAATGTGAAGAACTACAATTGTTAAATGCATATTTTACTTAGAAACTAACTGGGATTTCTTTTGTGCATGCGATTTGTATGTGGAATGAAGTAAAGAATAGCTTATCTGCTTACCATTTAGAGATCTAAGGTTTGTAAAAAGCAAATCAAAGCAACCACCTTATAACCTAAGTGAAAGATGGTCCTGGGCATATAGTTATGTATACTGATTTTCTCCATAGAGCTCTCGATCTCTGATTGTGGATAACAGATGCCTGTGTCACCGCCACCACCACCTCCTCCTCCTCCTCTCCCACCCTCTTCCTCTGGAGGACCACCACCTCCACCTCCTCCTCCACCACCACCACCTCTTCCATCCTCTTCCAGAGGTCCTCCATCGCTGACTTCCCCTACTTCTTTTTCATCATCATCTGGAGATCATCCTCCTCCTCCACCACCACCACCACCACCACCACCACCTTCATTTCCTGTGGTAAGTTTTTTTTTCCTCCTGGTTTGAATAGACTTTAAAGAGTGCTACTCCTATTTGCCTTCTGTAGGTGGCAGCACCTAACTAGGTTTAGCTGATCTTGAAAAAAAAGGCCAGTTCATGTCAGATCTGTTTTGGTATTTAGATGGGAGGTGAAATTCACTGTGAAATCTGAGATTCTAAGGTACATCCAAAGTTGAAAAAAATTATTTGGATGTTAACAGGAATTGAACTTGATTTCTAGAAAATTTTAGTAGTAATACTACTGTACATTTAAACATATAATTTAAAGCTGCATAAAGGAAACTAATGCTACTCGCAAAATTTAAGATGCTGGAGCTTTGTCAATAGCTGCATTTTAAATGCATTTTTTAAAAGAAAAATACTTTTCTTAAAAGAAACTGTTTATTCTTGAAAATAAATACATGTATTCATTAAGTAAATGTTTATATTTTCTCTTTTTATTTAAAGTGCCATGCAATAAATAAATAAATAAAAATAAATAAAGTACCATGCAATTTTCCATTTCCATTTAGTTGATCTTAGTTGCTTGGATTTGATTTTTATAATATTTTGCTTACATGGTTTATGTATTATGATTGCTGCATTCTATAATATAGTTTATAGTTCACCTTCTGATCTTGAATGTGTTATGTTCATCAGGTGTACTATTAATCCAGTGTACCTTCAGCTCATTCCTTTTCTAAAGACAAAGAATATTGTGATACTCCAAAGCCAGACAAGCTGTGTCACTTAAGAAAACCTCCATATATGTATGCTTGATGCATACAATCTGGTCTAATACAGGTATAAGAATAAAAGAGATTTTTTTGTTTTGTTTTTCGCTTTTCACAAATTACAGAAATACTTTTTTTGTAAATGTATTTAGCTTTAGAAATAGTTTATCTTTAAAAATACTTTATCTCATATTTTTGGGGGGGTTAATTTGAGGTCAATAAATCAATATGTATCAATTGAGTTCTGAGATTAAACAATCGGGGTGATGCTTACCAGGCCAGAAGTCAGGAATCTGGTCTTCGGTGGACAGAACTTAAATATTAAGGCAGCAATCAAAGGAAAGAAAGCCCATAAGTGCAGAACAAGGATTCAAGTTAGCATTGTAAAGTCATGTGCAAAAAATTTTAAATCATCCTCTATTTGGACTGGAGCTGGCTTTTAAATGTACTTAAACATTTTAAAAAGGTCATTAGAAAGGAGGTCAAGGTATGGAAATTGCCCCTGGGCCAAAGACTGAATGGATATTTGGGTCATTTGATCTGATCAAAATCTTCCTCAGTTCCTAAATCAATTGGTTGACTTCTGTGGCTGCCTACTTTTAACTTTAGCTCATGCTTGGAGATCATCAAACTTAATCTCTGGGGAGCCACTTGGAAATCTCCCAGGCTCTTTACAATACATATTAATGCAAGAATTTTTTAGATAGGATTTTCTGCACATTCAGAACTTAACAAGACTGAATTAAAGGACTAACCAGTATATTAATTAACTAAAAAGCTGTTCAGATCAATGTTTGCACTCGGTTAATCTGTGACAATGAGAGACATTTCCATATCTTATTCACTTATCTGTGGACTTCATCAAATGTATTCACACAGAATAATATCTTTCTCTTTCATGTTTTATTACCTTTCAAAAATAAGAATGGGAAAAACCATATGCAGCCGAATTTACAGTTCAATTTCTGAATAGTTGGACAGATCATAAAAATCAAGGTGAAGAATCCAATGAGAAAAAGTGTGTGTGTGTTTGTGCGTGTGCGCATGTGGGCATGTATGATTTTAAAAATACCGCTCTGAAAACGTATTGTTTGGCATAGTCATATATTGCTCTGTGATTTTCAGAGATGTCTACAGTTAACTTTGCATTTTGTCAGATCAAATTAGACAGTAGGCAAAAACGTGAAAGTGGGAACTGCGTAGGTGAAGAACAGATACAAGTTCAACTGTTGACATAGTTGGTCTGCCTACACCATTCAGTACAATACACGACCTTTAAAAATCTGAAGTGAATTAGTTCACGGGACTGTATCTGCAAAGCCTCAAGTAGATCAACTATTATAATCCTTCTCTGACATTCCTAAAAATGGATGATAAGCATAATTTCTTCATGATGCTTTGTTTTTTTATACAGATTTTCGTATCTTATTTCTTTCTGTATATTTACACAATGTAGTCTTTTAAAAATTTACAGAAATTTACTTCACTAATATAAATTATAAACAAGGACCAAAAATTCATTTTTGTTCCATCCAAAAATGACATTACATCGCTAGGTGGCCTTCTGTAGCCATGCAGAAGTTTGCGAGGCCCAATTATTATTCAGTCCCATAAGTACTGCCTAACCTTCCTTAATATCTATATGGAATTTTTGGAGAGGGATAAATATCATGGAAATTATTTGATCTTGGTAAATCTAAATATTAAGAACAGGACTTTGGAGAAGTGTGTAGATTGAACCTGGCCTCATCTCATATCTGTAGATAGCCACTGAAATCGCATGAATTGGCAATAAAAACATGCAAACCAAATCAAGCCAAACTAATATTGGTTAGACTGTGGATTGAACATTTTATTTGCCATTTCAATGAGATTTTATATTTCTCCACTTAAGGCATATCGAGAAGATTTTATGAGTTTGATAAAGAAAAAAGAGTTACTGAGTCCTTTCTCCTGACAATCTAGCCTGTTAAATGCATGAGTCATTCCATCCTTTTAAAAAACTGTACTTGTTATTTAACGCAACATTCCTTATATAAGAAATAATAGAATATCCCCTAACGGCTGCCAAAGAAAATGAGCACCAACTGTTCATGTTCTGATTTCATAAAGGAAGGTCATAGGAATTAATTTTATTCTTATTTGCAGAGGCATATGTGGGATTTAATAAAAGAAGTAACCTTTTCTTTCTTGTTACTTTTGAACTCTAGGAGGGAAATTAAAAAAGTGGATTTTTTGAGTGGTTGTTTATTTTTAACTCTTTATATTTCACCTTCCTCCAGGAACAAGCTAAAATGAAGAATGCACTCTATCAACAATCTTTCAAACATTAACCTCTAATCCCTTGTTCATAGAAGTCTATTAAAGTAAAATTAATAAGTAACAACAATATGCAATAATCACAAGGGCTTAAAAAGACCTCCAAGGATTCCAACAATGCATTTTAGGGAGCTAAAATTTTTACCCATTGCCAAGCAAACAAATATTAGGACTTGGTAAATCACTGTTATGCTTGGAGTATGTTGGAATAAGTAAAAGATTATCTTTAATGTGTCCATCTCCCAATCTTTTTTTAGATTGTAACAGTTAACATCATAATCTTGTGATGATTTAAAAATAAAATGATATATTAAGTTTTTTTCTACTCCTATTTTCCCCCTTGTCGCACTCCAGCAAATGGTATTCTTATGAGGAGAAAAAATAACTACTGTGTAGTACGTCCAAATGACACAACCTGTGGACATATGAATGAAAAACAAACTCCACAGCTGTTGGTTCTAAATTTAAACCAAGAGTTTGCCCAGGACTGGCCCTAGTCTAATAGCAGAGTTACAGCAAAACTATCAGGAAAGCTGCTGGAATCAGAATTTATTTGAAGGGATTATTTAAAAATAAGGACTTTTTAAAGTTATGTTTCTTCAATTCTTCACAGTAAGTATTGCTTGATGCTCTCCAAAAGAAAAGTAATTAGTTATACATTTCACTGTAATGTGTGCCATAACAGCATTTGAATATGGAATATTCAGCTTTTGAAAATAGTGTATATATGTGCGTGTGAGACAGAGAAATTTATCAATGAATTTGAAGGTGAATTATGTAGGTTAATTTGTCAGACGGCATTTCAAAATGACCGTCTTTTTGGCAACAAATGTAGTCATAAGAATAGAAGCTATTAATAAGATTTTACATCATCTCCCAGGAAATCTTCTGGTGCCAATATTACCCCACCTGAATGTGCCATCTAGAAGAGCTAACACACTGTATTTGTGGGAGAGAGAAGGAAAATTTGTGACTAACCATTCAAAATACTTATAGTATTTATTTACTAAATAGTCTGGGTTTTGTGCATGAACATGCAAAAACAATACATGATCTTTTCATTATGTTTCAGATTTTAGCTGACTATAAAGTTAGGGATATGTTAAAATAGGATGGCATTCAGAGATTATGTTGAACAGGGAATGGCACAGATATGATAGTAACATGACTAAATCTGAATTTTGATTTAATTTTGAATATCTTGTGTCATGTTTATGAGTTGCAGAAAAAAGAACCCGACAATTAGCTACAGCCTGCGGACTCTGAGTTGCTCTCCCTACTATACTCTAACATTAAAGGCACTAGCCTTATTACCCTTTAAATATGCTTTTGTAATCTCTCTTGTGTTTATCACAGCATGCAAAAGTTGAAAACCAAATTATTTCTTGAATCATGGCTCTCAAAGTTTTCTGGTTTCTGCTTTTATTAGGTATGTTTTTGGGTGGAATAACTGGAAGTTGGGAATGTCACAGAACAGCCAAAATGAAAGTCCTAGCAAAAGTTAATTGACTATGTTGATAAACAGACAATTAAAAATAATTACACTTAAAAGAAAATGTGATGTATGACTGTTCAAAAATAAATTCAGTATTTAATATGAAACTATTCCAAAATGCTTACCTGGCCATTTAGGACAGTATTCACCAGTAATTCTCTATTTTAGTAATGTATGGTGCTGCTTAATTTCTAAAACAAGAGTTAAACATTTAATCTTTAGCAAATTTCCTTCCTTTCCACTGTGCAAGAAGTAAGTTATTGAACCATGAGAGATAACAGCTTTGCATATGTTTATAGGAGCATGTCTTGCTTATTTCAAAACCGAACCTTTTATGACTAGGACTGAAATATAATAGATTCAAATCTTTGGTTTAGTAGTCAGCCTGCTCAGAATGATCTGTGCCTGTAGTTTTGTTGCAGTCTTTATCTTTTGGAAGTATCTATGTTATTTGCCATTTTGTTTCCTTTTTCTTGTTTAGTTTTTTGTCTCCTTTAAAATGCTGCTTTATTAAAAGAGGATCTCAGTGAATCATACATATTGTTCAAAATAAAAATGCAGTTATTTTGGCCCTGAGGAAAAATCCAAAATCTATATTAAGGCCATTAATAGAGAAGTTTACAGAAATGTGCAAAATTTTGGGATCCCATAAGTTAACAAGATGGGGAAGCTAGAAAGGCAGAGATGTGACATGATAATAAGCCATGAGATCTGCAGTAAATTCAGTCCCAAGTTGAAACTCCTTTCTCACTTGCACCTAATTATCATGTCAACATGGCCTGACAACCTCTTTATTCTTCCATATCCCAAGGATTTGCCTATATCTTGTTCTTAGCTGCATCTTTGGTCATTTTAGTTTTAGCTTTTTCTTCTTAATTTTCAAATCAGGTACAATCTGACATGCTTTGCTGTCTCAGTAGAGTTAGACTACCTTAAAGGAGGGAGGAATAGCCCAATGCTGATTGACTTTTTCAGGTTTCTACAGAAACCTGAAACCTATCACCTAAGTTTCCACTCCCCTCTGTTGCCATTTTATTTTCCTTTCATCTGGGTAAAAGGAATTGGGCACAGTTGCTGGCCGAATACAATTTTGGTGCTTTTTGAAACATCAAAATAAGTCTATTGAATGTGTGTCTGTTGAGCTGGCAAAGCTACTTGTTAATGCAAGAAATTCACTTCCGGTATATTTAATTACTAGTCACTTACTTCAGTCTATTGATTGGTGGGTTGTGATGGGCAGGTGAATGGGTGGGCTTCCCATTTCTTTCAAGACCTTGTTCTCCTGTTTCATCTGTCTGATGGATGTTCTTTCCTGTTTTGGCAAAGAAAATGTAAAGCATGGGAGGGAGAGAGTCACTTGTTACTACTTAGCACTTCCTAAAGCCCATCCCTTCCATTCCCCTCCCCTCATTACTATCTTGACAGATAGATGGTATCCTATTACACTGTGATGTCCAGAAAGTAGAAGAATAAAAACACCAAACATTTTCACCAGGAATTTTGGTTAAAACACACTGTTCATATGAAATCAGAAAATCACCATTCATGCAGCCCTTTCTAGCTGATTGCTTGTTGTAGAGCAGGGTTGTCAAATTTGTGGACTGTGGACCGGATGCATTACACGCTGGCCATGCCAACCCCCGGTTTAGCGAAGGGGGAAAAAGTCACAATACATCACATAATGACCTGACGCCTCAAATTTGACACCCCTTTTGTAGAGAAAGGAAAACAGTTTTGAGATGCAGTGTTTTTAAAATCAAAACGGGTAAGTAGCACTTAAGCTTTATTTCTTTATTTAAAAACGTCTATAAGTTTTAAATGCAAGTTTTAAGTTTAAGTTCTCATTTTAAATGGGGAAAACCATATTTTATTTGTCTCTTAGATACGTTTAACTGTCACTGGATTTTTGTCTGGGTATAATAATACTGCTAAACTAAAATTAAAATAAAATTCCATGTGTAAATGTTCCTTATATGAATGGATGTGCTTTAATATCACTTTAACAACCAAATACATTTTCTCATGTAGTACAAAATGGTCATACCAGAATTAAGGGGAAAACTTCATCTAGGTCAACTTTCAAATGGATCTTGGTTATGTATGAAGTTTCTGTATAGGCAGATCTGTCAATCTAGCTCTGGGTTAAAGGCGCTTCCAGATCAGATTATTATATTTTGTGATTTTTATATTTTATTATGGGACAGCCTTATTTTGAATGGCATTACATTTCATTAAAAATTTAAAGTAAAATCCAATCTTTTTCACCTTGGTGCCCTGCAGATTTAATAGGACTGTAATTACAGCAGTTCTAGAAGCTGCAATCCCAAAACATTTGCACTACCTTTGAACGCTTGATTCTTCTTTCCTTGTTTCTAACATTCACAATCAAAAGATGTCTTTTGGAGCTGAAGACTGTCCATAAAATGCAAATTGACTTTAAGCTATACTATTATATCAATTCCACCAATCATCCTGATTGCTTTGGAAACAACAGACTTTATTATTTGGGGTTGAAGTCCAAACTCAAAATTCAACTGTTGTACCATTTTTGTGTAGTGATTAAAGCATCCAGCTAGAAACCAAAAGACCATGAGTTGTAGTCCCATATTATCATGAAATCAGTTGGGTGACTTTTAGCCAGTTTCTCCTTTCAGTCTTAGAAAGAAGGCAATGGCAAATCCCTTTCAAAAAAGCTGCCATGCCCAGTCACAAGAAATCAAAAATTACGAGATGGGACAACAATTATTTTATTTCAAGGCTACTGAAGGGAGATCTGTAAAATGGAAGTTTGATTATACCTGAATGGAATTCTCTAGTAAAGTGATTCAGTGCGTGATAAAGGAAACAAATGCAAGTTATCCCTTTGCCTGATCCTAGGTGTATATTCCATTGTAGGTGTATATTCCATTGATTTCAGTTGCTTTGATTCCAAACTGATATGATGCACTTTCAACTATCTTGGTTGATTAAAAAAATAAGACAATTGAGATTCGCAGGAAAAAGTAAATTGTTAATATTGGCTTTACTAGCATGTTCATCGGTACTGTTATCTATGATTATTAGCTGAAATGGAAAATGAATAATGTGCTTTTAAATAAAAGTAATTCATACTACATTTTTAGTTAAAAGAACTTTTGATCAGCATGTTCCACTTGTCAATCACTTACCAGAAAGCTATGTTTTTATTGAAAGAACCTGTAAAAATTCAAGTAGGCAAGGATCCTGATAGATAGTGATGGAAGCGCTATATTATCTTGAGGAAACACCTAGTAAATTTGGCTACTAGAATTGTAATTGAAAATACGATTTAGAATTGTAATTATCTTGAGGAAACACCTAGTAAATTTGGCTACCAGAATTCTAATTCAAAATAGCAGACACTGACAACACTTAAATATTAAAAGATTGACACTGTCACAATTAGTGACAGCCAATATGATGTAGGGTTTAAGGAGGTGAACTATAACCAGGAAACTTCAGATTGCAGTCCATCCTCAGTCAGAGGAGCTCAGACTTTCAGCTTTGTTATGAGGAAAAACTGGAGGAGAGAATAGTATACTTTGAATTCCTGGAGGTAAACATGAAGTACATCTAACAAATACAATTTCTGGCCCATGTTTTAAGATGCTGGTGTTGACTGTCAAACTTCATATACAGTGTGGTGATCATCAAAGAACCAAAATTCTTCTCTCTGTCCTTGTCCCTCCTGATATCTGACATTTTGACCTGTTATTTTGACAGACAAACACAGAACCACCCAAAGTGAAAAGGGAGGAATCCAAAAGTCGAAGTGCTTTATTACATGAGATCCAAAGAGGGACTCGACTGAGAAGAATAAGCCAGATCAATGATCGCAGTGCTCCACAGATTGACAGTAAGTCTTCCGTTTAGGGACATGCTCCAATGGCTGCTCAGTCAGTTTTACATTAAAAACCCTTTCTTGGCAGAAACCTTTGTTTTTTCCTTGATTACGAAACTGTTCAATGACACACTTTCATTTTTCTGATGAAAGTTTCTTATATTAGCCTGATTATTTGAAAACTGTTAATGAATCTTATCAAGCTAACATTTTTCTTCAATATTCTGAACTTATTAATTAGAGGAATAATTTTCAAGTCTTCCAGTTACCCCATATACAGTATTTTGGGTTCATACTGTATTTTGGATTCATTCTTAAATCCATTCTTAATTCCTCCTCCCCCCATTTATGACTTTAATTCTTGCACTTGCACTTTTCCTGTACAAGTGACACATTTTTGAGCCTTTCTTTTTTCAGCCATTCTGAACACTTGTCAGTTATTCACTCATACCTTTTACAAGGTAAATAGACTGACAGTTTTCTATGGTAAAGAAAAACATTTCTCAGTTAATTTAATTCACTCCAGCCAAAATAAAAAGAAAATTGCAACAAGGAATGCCAAAGATAAAAACTTTAAAATTAACAAGATAAAGGAAAAGCAGTGGAAGAAAGAAGCAAAAAAGGGAAATATTTTAATCCCAGCAGTAATGTATTGGTTGAGATTATAGAAAGTCAGTGGTAACACCTAAGTTCCTGTTTTAAAGAACAATATATCTGCACAGTTATATTATCTAGACTGCAGGGAATATTTCTGTCTTAATATATGCAGCAGAAAATCCTGTTTTTTGTTATGTTAATAATTGTAAGACAGAGATTTTACATCATAACTAAGCCATAATACAGTTTGCTCAATTATATATTTAGCATTTAGTTATATATTAAAAGCATTTAGTATTTTTTCTTTGGCTTAGTGTATTGTGTGAATCCAGCCACAGCATGTTCTAATCATGCTTACTGGCTGAATCTTGCCAGTTACAGTTAATTTGCTTAACCATCACCATGTTGCATCTACATAGCAATTAGCCTCTGTTTTATGCCAAAAGAAAAAGAGCAGAAAAACCAAAAGCTGAAATAATACCCCTTCTCCTCCTCCTTCACAGCTGACAGAAGAAGGCCCAGCAAAGATGGAGGAAGCTCTGGAAATTGTAGCACTGAAATACCTCAGGCATTAGGGAACCTTTTTGCAGAAGGATTCCCTGTTCTGAGACCAGTGGGCCAAAGAGACTTAGCAGGTAAAGAATCCAGTTTGCAACTTAAAGTAATAAAAATGACCAAGATCTTACCTTGGTCTTATAAACATTGTTTGTCAACCAAACAGGAAAATCAAGGTTAAACTACCAAATCAAGCAAGTAAGAGTAGTGTATGAGAAAAACAGATTTCAGGCACAATAAATTAATAAGCTACAGTGCTGTGTGGAAAGACAGCTGTTCCTGAATCCACCAGAGTGTAGCTGTTGCCTGGAGACATTCATCTCACCTCTGTATGGTGTAATTGAGATGTGCAGGAACAATTCCTCCATTCTACAGTACTATTTTAGTTTGTTTTTTGGCTGGCAGCAGAATGAAACAAAATTTAGGTCCTTCTGCTTCCTGGAATAATGGAATTGCTGGATCTGTAGTCTCTGAAAATGAATTGGCAGGATTGGAACAAAATTGGAATAGCTAATTAATAATAGGGCAACAAATTTAAGAAGTTAAGTTAGAAAAAAGTCCTCTTGTTTTCATTTGAATCCAATAATCTGGATGAATTATTTAGATTTAATTACAATGAGAATAATTTAGGCTATTCAAAGGATGAATTGTTGAATGTAGTTTTCAAAATTAAAGGTGATTTATTTGCTTTTGCTTCATTTTCTCAGTGAATAGGACCGGAAAGCCACCTATTGCCAAAACAGCCCCAGTCCCACTCAACAATAATGGGAAGTCCAGTGGCAACTTTCAGATCTCCCCAAGTGGCCCTAAGCAAGCAGATGAGTCAGAAGCATCCAAGATCCAGAGTGCTATGCCAGCTCACCCCAGTATTCCTGCTCCTCCTGCTCCTACTTCAGTTCCATCTCCTCCTTCTCCACCTCCTCCTCCACCACCACCACTATTACCATCTCCCTCTGGCAAACCATCACTTATCTTTCCCCCTCCTCCCCCTGTACCACCACCTCCTTTTGAGCATCCTAATAAGTTCCCTTCTCCAGACATGGCGGCTGCTGCTGCTGCATCCTCTCAGATTAGAACTCCTAAAAGTCACGTCTCCCCATTGCACATACCATCTCCTCCACCATTACCCTTGTCTCCATCATCTCCCTCTGGGCTTCCAGGGAAAATTAATGAATGTTCCAGCCCAAGCTCCCCCCAGCTCGATCTAAAACATAATTCTCCCCCCATGCCGCCACCACCACCACCTCCTCCTCTCCCAGGACCTTCTATGTCTACTTTTTCTTTAACTAGAACCTCAATGTTTTCACCACCATCACCAACATGTGCCTTGAACAGCAGCAGCGATTCTGCTTCCCTAATGCCTCCCAAGAGCCAGTTGCAAAAGCTCCCCATTCAATCAGTGCCTCTTCCCTTTACTCCCCCAAGCACACAGCAAGCTCCTGCAATGCAGAAAAGGAGACAAGGAAGAGGTGGAGGTAACTACTTTCAGTGGCATCCATATTGGATTACGTCATGTGGAATATAACTCGCATTGGGTATGGATGTCCTTTCTATATACACTTAGGAGCTGAAGCTATTTGGAATCCTTAGTGTTGTATATTGTGCAACTCAGAAATTGCTTTAGAATGTAACCACAATCTATCTCTCTTTCTCTCTCACACTCATCCATGGAGGACTACATACCTGCTTCGGTTGCACGGCTGACTGCATACACAGCCTTTAACAGATTGTCCAAGGTTTTGTCTGCCCAAAGGCCAAAATAAGTTTCCTATATGTCAGAGAAATTGTATTTAAAATCACTGAATCTGATGATTTGAACAGAATGTTATTTTAAAATATATGGGGATCTACAAAAAGAAACATGCTGGACAAGATGGGAGAACTGGCTGCAATTCCACGTTGATTAATTGTGACTAATCACACTGCCTAATTCTGAGGACGAATAGGTTATGTGTATGTATGTTTTGCTTGAACTTTTTGGAACAAGAATGAGTGGTAAGAATGCAAATAAATATTTGATTCACTCTTTTCTGTTTTGCATGTTTATTCTTCTTAGCAAAATTGATGCCACCACCTGTTCCTCCTGCAAGGTCTCCCACAACTGAGCTCACAAGCAAATGCCAATTCACACAAGTATCTCCGTGGACACCAGCTACTCAGGACCCAGGTATTACGGGTAACACTGTGTCATTTATTGTTGACAAATATTGTACATACAAAAACATAGAACTGTTCTTATCACAAGGTTACAGACTTAATAATCTATGAAGGCTTTGTAAAACTAGTGTCTCCTTAAGAATGGCAATGCAAACTCCTCAAGAAAGTCAGTATATGCTCATCAATTGTTTAGTGACTAAATTCTGTTCCAACTACCAACTACCAAGTTGTTAAGCAAAATGGTCGCCAAGTGAGACACAAACACAGAGAGAGAGAGAGAGAAGGAGAGATGCTGCAAAGATCATTGGTTGCTACTGCCTGATTCAGTCAAGGGTCTTCTGTACAGCAGCACCAGCATTACTCTTATTCTGACATGCATTCTCAGGCACACAGCCTTTAGTTATAATGCAAACGGTCAGAAAATGACATTTTTAATTACCACCATATTTGTGAATAGTCACAAGCTGAAACAGTTGCTAAATGAGGAACAGGTGCATTTAGGTATTTGAACTTTTTTGGAAACAAATGGACATTTATACAGGAATGTTAAAGGCTGATACATTAGCAGTTAACAACATACCTAGGATCAACTATTATCAACTATTATTATAAGAAAACACTGGCAAATCATTTCAGTATTTTTACTAAGAAAACTCCTTGAATATTTTACTAGACTCTACTAAATTTTACTATCATAGAATTTAAACTTTAAACTTACTTTGAAACAGTAAGATGCAAAAAAGGGATTGTGAGAGACTACTACAGTTCTAATATCTTCAGAATTGGTGGAAGTGGATGGGGCTAAACAAGCTTTAAACAAAGTGTATGGAATTTTAAAAATATGATAAAATGTACAGTATATGAATTGAGAATATGCTGGATAGATTATTTTATTGTGCTTTTGTATAACATTCTATGATGGGTATATATGTAGTAAATGTTACTTTGCTTATTGTAATTCAATATAAATTTCTGTAAAATTAAACTCTTTCCAGATGATTTTGAATCGAAATTTACTTTCCATCCCGTGGAAGACTTTCCTCCACCAGAGGAGTTCAAGCCTTTTAAGAAAATTTATCCTAGCCAAGAAGTGAGAAGTAAGTCAACATTTCTACCTCAATATGATGTTAAATGCTTCCCAAAGAGAGGCTATTATTCATCTTGGCCCTCTAGTTATGAGAGAGTTCTAGGCTTTCTCAGTGTAATGCATGGAACAGTGTTTCCACTGTAGAGAAATGTCCAAGAAATGTCTGCTAATTAAATAGCCCAATTTTCAAAAACATCAAGGAGCCTCCATTGGTACCCACAATTTGTGTTTTAAATATAGTGCCCATGTGTCCCTATGGTATGACTTTTTTCTGTCAGATCTAAATAATTAAGATTATACAATGGATCCCTTTGTTCTCTCCCATCTTGAGAACAATGTCAAAGCTACTGAAATTTGTTTTTGTTGTTTTTGACAATTTAATTGCCTTCAAATATAGCACATTTCCAAGAAGAGTGATAGTCTCCATGCCTATTATCTACAAGCCTTGCCCGGTGCTATATACTTCATTGTCTCATCCACATAAGACATCAGTTGACTGGGGAATTCTGGGAGTTGAAGTCCATATATCTTAAAAGTTGCTCAGGCTGAGAAACATTATCCTAGAGTAATTTGTTTACCTTGAATTCAAAACTGGTTTCAGTATATGGCATGGAGTAACCAAGGGATAGAAATTTGAGGACATGTGATGGATGCACTCAGATTATGACTTTCATAGCAGTCACAGCCAGTCACAAATAATTATTTACCAGAAGGTGAATTATTATTAGAACAATTATATACATACATGTCATTTTATTATATTTTACATGTGTGTTTGTAAATAATTACTCAGCCAGTTTCTTATAAGGTTAAGTCTAAGTAAAAGCTAGCTGGGTGATCTTGGGCCAGTCATTTTCTCTCAACCCTAGGAACAAGACAATAACAAACTACTTTGGAAAAACCTTGCCAAAAAGATTTGGGATTATCCAACCAATCACCAGCAGTCAACCTGACTGAGAAGGAAACATGTAATTAAAACTATAATTGTTTTTTCTAACACTCCTTTTTAAAAGGTGAAAATGTTAAACAATGTAAATGAACCCTTTGTGTACTCAACTAATCTCAATAGGACTCTGCCATGATCCAGAGGAATTACTGTAAGTAAATATGGTGCTAGAAGCTGGTAGCTTTTGAAGCTGGCTTTTGATTTATTTTTTTTACTTCTTAAAAATAGGTATAAATTTTTTTTAAATAGTTTTTTAAAAAATAAATCTTTTAAGAAATGACAGAGGAGGTAATAAAAATTGGGGGACTGAGGGAATCATCAGTGTAAGCACAGTAGAGTCCATGTCACACTGTTGCCTACCAACTATTAGATTAGATGTTCTGAGTAAGACATGTCCTTTGTGCAGATTGCTAATTTTGGTTGGATAAGAAACATAGTACAGGTGATCCTTGAAATACAACCATTAATTTAGTAACTTTGTTTAGAAGTTGCAACGGCTCTGGAAAAAGTAACTTATGACTGTTTTTCACATGACCATTGCAGCATCCACATCATCACTTGATCAAAATTTAGGCTCTTAGCAACTGGCACATATTTATGACAGTTGCACTGTCCCGGGGTCATGTGATCACTATTTGTAACTTCCTAGCCCTCCCAACAAACAAAATCAATGGAGGAAACTGGATTTACTTAAAAATCTCATTCACTTAATAATTGGGGTGATTTGCTTAATAAGTGAGGCAAAAAGAGTTGCAAAATGGGGCAAAACTCACTTAACTGCCTTGCTTAACAATGGAAATTTTGGGCTCAGTTGTGATTGTAGGTCAAGGACTTCCAGTACATATTGGGAAACTGCTATCCTAAGTCCTGTGTCAAATAGACACTTCTTAATCCTCTAAATATATTAAATTGTTGTGATTTAAGAGGTGTGTGTGCAAACTACATATATATATATGTCTACACGTGTGTCTTAGTTGAATTCATAGATATTATGAAGGTTTTCAACTGACATAAGTGGTCTATAAATTTGCCTTAATGGTTCTCTGATTTATGGCTCAAATTTCTTCATTATTGGAGAAAGAAATTGTCATGGATAGTGTCATGGAAATACCATTTTCTTTTTACAGATAAAGCAAGCAACCCCCCTTTACGACCGCAAGCGAGATGAGATCAACAATTTAAGGGTATTCCAAAAAAAATCAAGAGGTCACCGATTGCAGTATAAAATGTAGGGCATATTTTTGTTAGTCATGAGATAGGTACAGGCAAATATGGCACTTAAAAGACTGCTGGATGCAGATGGGCCAGAATGAGAGTGCATGTTCAGTTATAAAAAAGTTACAACATAATGTATTTTGATTTAAATTGCTTTAAAACTGGCCTGAATTTTATTTTTAAAATGGAGTATTGTAATTTACATAGCTGTTCATTCTTATATGGTATATTTTGGTACAGTAAAATTGATTGCCTGTATTGTATGCATTTCAGTTGCCCATGGAGTTTCTGTTGTAATTAATTCATTATTTCCAAATTTGATTTACTGATTTACATTGTATAATATATAAATTTCTGGCAAGACTTCTCTTTTGTTTTCTTGGATATAGCTTTTCAGTGGTGCAGATGTATAGATTTCCAAAAGAATGTCACATATAGACACACATATACTCCAAGCATGAAGAATGGAAACAAAGCATTTTCCATTAGCTTCTTCTAAAGCCCATCAGCCTAAGAATATAAAATGTTCTTACTTGTAGTCCTCAACTTGCAGGCACCATAGGGATTGGAAAATGTGTCATTTAGCAGTGTGGTTGTTAAGTGAGGTATCACATGACTGAACCCGATTTTATAACCTTTTTTGCCACATCATTAAGCAAATAATTTGCAATCCTTAAGCAAGATATCATGTGTCTATGCAATCTTCCTATGACTTGGGATTGTAGCAAATGACCATGACATGACCACAAGTTATTGCAACAGTTGTAAATGTGACACTATAGCCAACTGCCCAAATCACAATCATATGACCAAAATCAGTTATCATAAATGCAAGGACTGTTTTTTCTAATGCCATCCTAACATTCAAAGGCCACTAAATGTTAAGTGAGGACTACTTGTATTAGCAAGCCCTCTGTGTGATTCTGTGAAGGCTGGTCCATTTGATGCCTCTATCCATCAGAAGCTTTAAAAATGATAGTGCACAAAAACAGAAAAAGATCTAGAATACAAGATCGACTTTGAATATTTTAAATATAAAAAGGGAGTTCCTATATCTCAGGCCATCTTGTTTTTGAGTACAAGGCCGAAACATGCCTACAACACCAGTTGCCACTACAGAGCAGAGTGGAAATATATTTTCCCACCCTTGCTGTCTCCAATAAGTGGATTCAGTAACAAAATTCCTCTGAATTAGGTATCGACACAGCCTACCAGTAGAAAGAATACTTGAACCGGAGCATGGAGTAAAGGAATATGTCCTTTAGGAAGCATCTGAAGCCTTAAACTAGCTGCTATACATTTGGGCCCTAAATAACATGCTGTACATACAACTGAAAAAGGAATGAGAAGGAAAATTTAAGAACCAACTAATGAGGATATGGCAAACATAGCTTCCTGTCTCACACAATTTTGCTTTCCACAAAAAGCAACAAAGGAAGGACAGCAATGGGGATAGAGGCATTTTTTAACAGAAGAGACAGTGGGTTTTTTTACTGAATTATGGTTTAACATGCTTGCAAACCTAGCCATCATAGACTGTTTTCATTCTTGCAGTATTTTCGGCCTGCTTTTCATTCAGATGAACTGCAGTAGGCACCTTTGGCCATGTATATGTTGCAGTGTAATACAGCATACAGATCTGTTTGAGGGTAACTGTTGCTCAGAGAAGTTGCCTTGTTTGAGGAGGAAAGGGAAACTCAGACTGTATTTGCATTTCTACCTTACTCTTACAGGTGGAACCATAGGACTGCAGTAGCTGTTTCAGCTAGTTCTGTATGTCTATTTTCAGCAGTGGCTCTTCGGCTGCTTAATGTGAAAGCAACTAGAAGCTATCTGCACAAAGTGTTAGAGATAAGCAACTCCCTCTTTGATGAGAGCTGTTGCTTTTGCTTTTGCAATAAACAGCAATATTCTTGAATTCTAGAATTTATTTCCGGAATAAAAAAGGGGAAGAAATGAGGCTTTTCTGCACCAAGGAAAATGAAAAGACATTTACTCAGTCAGACCTTATATTTAAAAACAAGACACAGAGCAGTAGTGTCTAGTCAATGATGGCTCAATTAGAAATGACATGTAGAGTATAGTAACCATCTTTATTTGCACCAAGATCTTTAAGTATGAAAATTATTGAAACATTTTAAAAATTTCAGACTGTATCCTAAATTAATTTTAAAATGTGTGGAGGAGAGAGGAAAAAAGGGGACGATCACCCATTTAATAAGCTCATAACATATATTATGTTATATTATAACATATGTGATTTAGTAACTTCCAGAAAATAACTATTTTACATTAATTTGTTTTTACAATTTTATTTCTTACTGGAAAAAAGAAAAAATTTCTCTAATGCATTTCAGGAAATAATATTAAAGTATTTAATACCCAGACATTTTTTCTGTGCAGAAATAATTTATTAATTTGGTCAATCATAAATGTCTAATACATATATCACAACTGACGTCAAACTCCTGATAGCAACTTCCTACAAGAAATACCTAAAAATGTACTAATTCTGCTTCAATCAGATATTATACATTCCAACATATCCTCAGGGAGAGAGCATGATCAAATCTTGTAGCACAGTTGGAACATTTGGAGTTTTACAGAAAATGTCCTCAAATCAATGCATTTACAATATGGATTTTTTCCCCTTTTTCAGCAACCTTTGATGCCATTATTCTTTGAAATTTTAAACCATAAAATAATAGCTGTTTGCTATACAAACTGTCCATACAGATATACAGACTAAGGAAAGTTTGTAGATCTCCATAGTGACAAAATATATTGGAAGAACTAGAAAAAGTCTGGCCCTTCAAAATTACACTGTTCCTTGTACAGTGGAAAAATACTTTCCTTAGTTTCCTGCATAATTTTTAAAACTATTATTTACTTCATGAATCTGTGTGTCATTCTTGAAATCTGTTTTATAAGTGTCCCTAGTTAAGAACATTATAAACAGCATTTGTGACCTGATCACAATAGTTTAGTTGGGAGTTGATAGCTGGAAGTTTTATAACATCAGAATCCTGATGTTTTGAATTATAGGATTAGCACCATAGTTTTGACATTAGAATCTGATCACCTGTCACTGCCTAATGGCTTCACCTGCACAATCATTTTCTTCCATACATCAGGGGTGAAATGCTCCCAGTTTGGACCGGATAGGGCAATCCGGTAGCGATTGTGGCAGGTGGTTCGGAGAACCGGTAGCAATGGCAGCACGAGGCTCTGCCCACCCGCCCAGGTGTCGTTACTTCCTGGTTTTACCCAGGAAGTAATGTGTTTTTTACCCTCTGTGCATACGCAAAAGGTTTTGCACATGCACAGAGGGTCTACGCCCGCATGTGATGTGTGAGTGCACACGAGCGTGCATGCGCAGCGCGTGCACTTCTGAACCAGTAAGGAAGGTAAGTAGATTTCATCTCTGCCATACATCCATCTTTTCATTAAGAAGTCAACAGGAGGAGGAATGACTTGCTGATGGCCAAGATGAACTTGGTAATGTCCAATGTTATCTGGATGCACGGACAATAAGCAACTTATATAAGAGAATGGATTCAGGATACAAAAACCTGGAGGTAAACAACACTTTCACTGTCAGTCACTTTAAGAAAGTAAATATAATTTTATATTATTGGTGAACATGGGGAAATATGCATCATAACACAAAACTCAAGTTACATATCTGTCAGACAATGAGATGCAAGTACACGAATGTGGAGTTATGTCATTACCGCACATACCATTTTAACTCAATCTTGGTTTGCTGCAAATGCAAATTTGCTGATCTCATTAACTGTCAATCAAAGTGCAAATTTAATCTTGCTCATCTGAGGCTATTTTAGTATTCATAATTATATAACAATGGTAATTGTTTACTGGATTAGATCCTGTTCTACTATTTAAGTAGCTATAAATGACTGCTGCTATTTGGCAAAGTAGTAACAGACTTATTAGCTGCCTAAAGCAAAGGTATTAGAAGATATCCTGACATTCTACCTCAGTTGAAACCTTTCCAACAAATTTTCAATAATATTGGGAACATTATAAACCAAACTTTTGGATAAATGTTTCAAATCCAGCACAAAGAAATATGAAATAATGTGGAATAGAGAACTAGGTAGGCTATTTCTCTAAGGTTTATGTAAATTGATTTCATTCTCATTCAAACTAGCATCAGTGAAAAGGCATTTCATTGCTAAAAGTTATACCCTTTATAATGGAATTTCCTTTTTTTTTTAAACATTTCCACATTTTCTATTCAAAAATATCATTCAGAAGTTATAAAGTGAACCATCTTTCCTTTGAAAGTGAATGAATATTTTGAAGAGAAGTTTTAAAAAGATCCTGCTTAATTTGAAAGCAACATTGAGACTTCTATAGTCTTTTCTAAAATTATTCATTTCTAAAGTTTTGGCACCCAAATAAAATAAAAATTCCAGCATTACACTAGCCAGCATGCATCTACTAACTGAACCAATCAGTGAATCTTCTCTTTTAGCAATATACACAGGACAACACATAATGAAAAAGGATGTTAACTGGATACAGCTACTGAGGAAAGTTTCTCTAGAAAGACGAATACTTCCTCCCAAATTCAGCAATATGGTGAGATTATCTTTCAAGGCTTGAAGAGTTCTATGTTCTTGTGCAAAGGCTAACAGTGTCTATGGGCACTGAAATGAAAAAAAAAATAAAGCCTTAGTTTACAAATTACAAATGCCAATCTAAACTGCAGGAGAAATACATACATATAGTAAAATAACCACAATGTACTGAAGGTTGGCTTCTTATATGTGCCAAGAATTGCTTTGAAGTCATTCAGATTCAGGAGATAGAGAAGAATATGAACATCTAAGCTGACTTTTTTACTTTTAGAAGAACATTTGCTGAAATAGGAATATGAATGTGGGGGAAGACTCACTTCATTTGAAGAATTTATGTTCTGTATCTACACAGTCATAAAATAGGTCTTCTATTTCTGAAGAATCAAGAATCTCAGAGCTAGAGAGTATGCCTTCCATTGCTTCCAAGCCCTGCTTTTCGAGGTTTAACATTATTCTTCTTAATGTCTGACCTTTTTCCTATGGAATGCAAAGGCCAATAGGAAATACAGATTAAAAGGATTTAAGCTGTAATCTTGTACAAATGTTTACAAATGCATCCATATAAAAATTCTCAGGAAACTAAAAAAGACCGAACTGCTTGTGCATTAACCATACATATAATAAAATTTAACAAATTATAATCCAGACTTTCCTAACTTGGTTACTTCCAGATTTTGCAACACTCAGAATTACTGAAAAGTGTGTAAGAACTGCAATTTCTAGAATTCCGTGTCAAAATTCTGAAAGTTGCTGACTAGGAGAAGATTGAGGTATACAGCAAGAAATATACCTCAATCAGAATAGAGCTGGAAAGGATCTTGGAGGTCTTTTAGTCCAACCCCCTGTTCAAGCAGGGGAGCCTATACCATTTCAGACAAATGGCTGTCCAGTCTCTTCTTTAAAACCTCCAGTGATGAAGCACCCACAATGTTTGAAGGCAAGCTGTTTCACTGGTTAATTGTTCTCACTGTTAGGAAGTTTCTCCTTAATTCCAGGTTGCTTTTCTCCTTGATTAGTCTCTATCCATTGTTTCTTGTCTTGCCTTCTGGTGCTTTGGAAAATAAGTTGACCCTTATGATATCACTGTAGTTGTTCTTTTCTCTAGACTATCCATACCCAATTCTTGCAACCGTTCTCACATGTTTTAGTGTCCAGGCCTTTAAAATCATCTTAGCTGCTGTTCTCTGCACTTTTTCCAAAATCTCAACATCTTTTTTGTAATGTGGTAACCAAAACTCGATGCAGTATTCCAGGTGTGATCTTACAAAGAATTTATAAAGCAGTACTAATACATAACATGATTAAGGTGCTTTTTCCTTTTTTTCTTTTTTTAATTTTTAAAACAAAGGTGCTTTTTTCAAGAGGCAACTGGACTTTTTAGTTTTTCTTTGAAGATGTTTCATTTCTCATCCAAGAAACTTCTTCAGCTCTGACTGGATGATGGGGAATGGAAGGATTTATACTCCTTGCAAACAGGTTGTTAAGTCACCTGGAGGTTTATCTGTGTCATCAGGGTCACCTGGGTGATGCAAATTGTTTGGAGCCTTCTTGGAACTGTTGAAAGGACCCTAGAAAGTCCAGTTGCCTTTTGAAAAAAAGCACCTTTGGGAAATGCATTCATTCATTCATTCAGTTTCTATCGCTGCCCATGTCCTATAGTGCACATGTTCACTTGAAAAAAGGTAGTTGAAGATACTATAAGTATTTCAGATATAAATACAGTTATAAATAAATATTTGCTTAGTGATGGTCATTGGGCTAGGATATCTGTAAGACATAATGCCACATCACCATGCCAACTTGCAACAGCAGTTCCAGCAGTGTCATCATTAAGTGAGTAACGTGCAATATCAGCATCCCATGATCACAGGAATGCCAGTTGTGACCGCCTGCTCGCTTCTCATTGGCTTTGCTTGTCAAAAGTTGGCAGTGAAAGTTGCAAATATTGTTCACGTGATTGCAGGTCACTGCAACATTGTAATAGTGAGCCAGTTGCCCAGCATTCGAATTGTGATCATGTGACTATGGGGATGCTGCAACAGCCACAACTACAAGGACCTATTGTAAGTATCCTTGTTCGGCACTATTGTACTGTCACTGAACAAATAGACATTAAGTCAGGACTACTTTCAGTGCTATATTGGACATGCATGCTGGAAAAAAGCAGTTGAAGATAATATTGTTAAGTATTTCACCTATCAGTATAAAGATACTGTAATTATAAAAGATAACATTCAATTTTTAACTATGTATGGAAAGTTACTTTTCTCCCATTACAATGTATGCCTCTTTCTGATTACAAAAACATCAACATATATAATATAGAATTAAGCTATCCTATAATTATGCAAAGAAGCAATCAGAAATAAAGGGAGCACAACCTTGTATATTTTATACAAGTATAAGAGAACTGCTTTTAAAATGCAAACCTGAAGTACTGAACAATTCAATCAATCGGTTTGATAATAATTAATAAATCGAATTAGAAGCCTTACCTCATCACTGTCTAAGACTAATCGGGCCTGCTGTTGCGCCTTGTACAGTTCATGTCTGCGATCAGGTTTCTCCTGAAACCGAGGAATTTTTTTCACAGGATCTTCACTACCAAAAATGGGTGATTGAACTTTAGGTACTATTTTCACACCATCCACAAAGATAAAAGGTTTAAATATGGACCTGAAAAAGGTTAGATGAATGACCAACTAAGTAATTATAGTTACAGATTGCATTGTCACCTAGCAGTTTATTTTCCTACAAACTAAAACAACCTACTCAAAATAAATCTGAGCATACCAATTGCATTAAATATATGCAATGCTTTTGACAAACTCTATTTACTTTTGCTAATAATTATATTAAAATTTAAATAATCATGTTAGGACTTTTTTATTGCCACTGATCACTCTTTTAATTGGTCTGTTTTGTCACACCATTCTGCACAAATTAAAAGCCACTTTGTGTCACATAAAATATCCCTTCAAGGATGTAGGCTTTTAATATTGCAATTTTCTGTATGGAGTTGTTCATAACAACTGGAATAGACACTGTGCTACTTTTAGGAATTGTCTGCAGTGTCCTTTTGCTGCTTTTGAATCCTTCTTCCCTTGAAACATCCTGTGATTAGAACTAATATCTGGAATTCACAAAATGTTTCGTTCAAATTTCTATTACTTCTAAAAATAAATTTAATATCATTTCCAATTAAAATATTTTTTTGATGTCTTAAATACAAAAAGCTTGAAAGTAATGGACAAACTACAATGCTAGACCCACTATGATATTTCTTGATGTATTATAAAGGTTAAAGGTTTTCTCTGTCCAGTCATCTCTGACTGGAACCTGTAATATCTGAGAGATGGTTTCATTATCATGTAGCCATCATGAAGTACGAAACACAGTAACCTTCCCACTGAAGTTGTGCCTATTTATCTACTTGCGTTTTCCTGCTTTTGAATTGCTAGCTGGGCAGGAGCTGTGGCATGTAACAGAAGCACATTCCTTGAATCTCAAACCCGGGCTGTCGACTTTTTGGCTGACAAGCACAGTGTCTTAAAACACTGAGCCATCATTCCACCCCTGTTGCATTATATGTTAATATAAGTGTTCACCTGTTTGCCTTTAGCAAGAAAAATCCAAAGAGTTGTATTCGCAGAAAGAAAAGATAAAGATGCAGGAAATGCTGACATGGCTAAATTACAGATAAACAAAAAGTTATTACCAAAAGAAAACAATATTAATACAGCTCCAGTGAAAACTTACCAATATACTGAAAAGATTAGAAATCAATTAAAGCTTATTCCTTCCAGTCTCTTTCATTATTTTATACATTCATAAAACAATAGTAGCTTTATTTATTTCTTTATAAATATGACAGTATCTTGCATTTTGTATCCAAAGTACAGGTGTAACTATTTACACCATTTATTTTACATTTAATAAGGTTTAGAGCTTTTTAAAAAATGAGGTCTTTTCTTCAGTTTAACATAGTTGTTGCTGAATCCCAAAAGGATGCATACTTCGGTTAAGGAGGCTCTGATAGTGCCCTGCTTTGAAGCATCTTTAAGCTTTGGAACAGCATAATTTAATGGATGTGTGATGTTTTCTAAAACAACCCCATAGTATTAGAAAAGTATATTTAAAAAATGAAGTTCCAATGCAGTGCAGAACAAAGAACTCTGGTAAAAAAAAATTAATTAACTAATGTGCATACATCTTAGATATATGAGCCCAACATAAATAATGAGAGTAAATTATGAAGAGTAAAGCAGCCTTGACATCCCAGGATCCGTTGCAGGCAATCTACAGGGCAATAGCTAACACAGCTGAGGCATTTAAATTGACAATAGGGTAGATCAAATCAGCTAACACAGTATTTCTCAAACTTAGCAAACTGAAGATCTGTAAACTTCAACTCCCAGAATTCCCGAGGTAGCATGCTGGCTGGAGAATTCTGGGAGTTGAAGTCCACACATCTTAAAGTTACTAGTATTGAACAACACTGAACTAATCTATCTTTTTTTTCACCCTTACAAAGCTGCCTTTACTCAACTAGATTTAAATTAGCAGCTGCAAAAATAAGTCCAGAGATTTGAAATAACAAAACAAAACTTTGAATATTTATTTACATAACCTTATTCAGAGAATAATGTATATTTTACCCATCCAAGATGTAAAATTAGTAATTAATTCTTGAAACTATTAAAAGAATGCTGGTACATCTAACATACTTGGATGGATCTGGTGTACCAGTGAAAAAATGAATGCATGGGGAAGTCAGATTCTGAGGTAAGATGGACACCATGCTTGCTGTTGTAAGAAAAGAGTCTGAATCCACAGAGATGCCCTCAGCCTTGTTACGTAATAGGTCAATCATTGTTTCCACAGTGATGTTGCCTGGAAGAAAAAAACAGAAATTGGGAATTTACTAGGGCATGATCATTTCAGGAGGAAAACTCTATTCCATTTTTTGCCAATGCATCTGGGAAGTAACAGGTTGTGTGAGGCTTTTTGAGTAAAATAGGGAAAAATGAATGCATGATTAAGTAGGATAGATCAGTGAAAGAAAAGTTGCAAACATAGAATAACAGGTAATATGATCACAGAATAAGAAATAAATTAATCATTATACTTATAACCGCTGTAAAAAAAATATTGGAAAACACTTCTTTGTAATATTTTTCTTTCTTTTTCTTCTATTTTTTTCCTTTTTTGAAAGGAAAGCTGGCACTTTGATTTTCTTTACTTTTTCTTATTTTATATTAGTATTAGTTTTTATCTTCCTTTTTAAAAATAATTAATATATATAATTTTATATATTTATATAATATATAATTTTATATGTATATGCATATTTTATATGTATATATGTATATTTTTATGTGTGTGTGTATATGGTTATTCTCTATCTATTGCCAAGAGACAAAGGGAAAGATCCAGCAGGGTCCATAGAGATATCAAAAATAGGAAAAATGGAAGTTGCAATAATACATGCAGGGAAAGAGGCAGGATATCAAAGAGATCTCCCTTTCATACATATGCTTCTAAAGGAATTGTGATTTATAAAGATTTTTCTGGTGCTCTTATGTATGTTGCCTAACCTAAGCAACCTCCCAGATTTTGTGCAATCCCCAGCTGCCACCAACTTTCAATATGACATCATTCTTTTTCATGCCCCTAATATAGTTCATAAAGCCCAAGTAAGACCCTTAAATTGCAAATGCTTGTGCACCAGATCTAACTGAAAGTTCCTGTCTTATATAACTTACTCTCTCAAATATCACTTTGAACATTGCAGCCTAATATTGAGGGTAATGTTAAGCAGAATTATTATTAGAATTCAAAAAAGAGCAAAGGCAACAAAATAGATGCAAAATGGAATGTGATGTGGTTTTATCAATCCCTCTTTTTAGACAATTGTCTGCAGGATGAATTTGCAACTTTCACCATCAGATGAGCATGTTTCCCACCTCTGGTATTTGGAAACTCCAGCAGTGATTTTGGGAATCTTTCAGGATCCATGTTTCATTGACTACAGAACAATGTAATATTTTCCTTAGCATTGAGGAATATTGTGGGTCTAACAAACATAAAATAGATGGTCTGTGCTTTCAAATGTGCATCTAGCAATTCAGTTCAATGAATATAGATTTTCTATCATTTTCTATTTAATTAACTGGTCAACAAAATAACGATTATTTCTAAATTTTCTGAGGAATTGTTTAAGCTTCTCCTATGCAAAGGCAGTTGATGGGTGGGTTCCTTGCTTAAGATCATTACCTGGATAGGACCTTGAATTCTCTGCTCCAAGTTTCTCTTGTGCCCTTTTATGCATACATTATCTAATTTATTCTCTCGAATTTTTTGCCACTGGTAGTAATAAATTGTCAAGTTGCCCTCCTGCTCTAAACTTTTACGGTTTGAATCAGACTATGGGCAACAAAGTTACTTGCCTTCTTGCTTTTTTAAGGTCTCCATCCCCAAACAACAATTTGAATAATCATCAACTTGGGAAAATACTTCAGCAAAATTGAATTCCTTATCTGTGCTCCACCATCCTTTACTTTCTGCATAACTTCTAAGCTCAGGGTGTTCTGCGTCGATTTTTGTAGTTAAGGACAGACAGTTGCAAATACACTTCACTCCGTCTATAGAAACAAGAATAAAACATCTAAATAAAATATGACATTAAAAAACCTAAAGTGAATCCAATTTGCATTCAATAAAATCCTATTAGCTAAGTGCTAATGTTGTAACAGATTTAGAAGAGTTGCTCCACTGAATTGTGCAAAGCAGTAATGAACTGATTCTTTCTCACCTTTGCTGCATTTATAATAAATAGCAAAAAAAAAAACAACCCTTCACTCAAGTGTCTGTCACATTTAAGGAAGGTAACAAAAATAGATGCACAGAGTAGCTAGATGGATTTGCAAATATGCAGATATACCTAATATATAAATCCCATTCAGAAAAATAATCAACATACTTGTTCTATAATAAAACATGCTTGGCAGCTTGTAAGCAAGATAGGAGACTGACCTCAAACCTCCCTTGTCTGGTTCGAAAGAACAAAAGTTTAATTTTAGCTTCAAGATGGAAGAAAAGAGGCTTGCCTGGCTAAGGCTAAATGAAGTTTATTTTGCCTTACTCTTTCTGATTAAAAAGATTTAATCTTAAGGCAGCGAACAGGGAGACTACTAGAGATGTGTAATGGAACTTATGGATGAAGGCAGTGGTGAAATCCTCTGCGGGTTGCCACCGGTTCACTGCCCGTGTATGCGCGGTGCGTGCCAAACACACACGTGTGCTTGCACAGTATACCAAATGCACACTTCACGCAGGAAAAGGAGCCTTTTGAAGGTAAGTAGAACAGTGAGGGGGGAACAGCTGTGCCGCACAATTTAGATTTGCTAGAAAGCAGGATTTCCTGCTTTCTAGCGAATATAAATCTTGCGGCACAGCTAATCGTCAGAAATACCGGTTCGGATAAACCAGTAGCTTTTTTTACTACTGGTTCATCCAAACCTCTGCGAACCGGTAGCATTTCACCCCTGGATGAGGGAAAGAGATGCTGCCTAGGGAATAACCAGACAAGAAAGGGAAGAGCCCTTGGTCATTTAAGGATCAAAATAAGAAACTTAGGAAGGACCCAATCTAATTGATCAGATGGTTAAAAATGGTGATGGGAAGTCTGTACTGTCAGACTTGCAAGATTCTGTTACTGTGATATAGCTTTATAATAAAGTAGCTTTAGCTCATCTAGTTGTGTTTCCTGACTTGTTTACCTAAGAAGGACACAAAAAATGTGAATGAGAATAAGAGAGAAAAAATGAGCAGAATGAGCCAGAAAGAGAACTGGTAAGAACTTCAAGAACAATTCTTACTACAAATGGCAAAAGTCTGAAAAATGGAAAGGAGTAACATCAGGTGGATGGAGAAGTAAACTGCCTAAGGCTGTGGTCAAAAACAATGCATTGGGGTGAGGAAGGGGCAAAAATTTAGGCTGGCCGATATGTGTGTGGTATGTGGTGTGTGGATGTGGGTGTGTGAAGCAAATAGTAATTTGCTTCATTATCTATTGGCTATTCATGATTTAGTGAGAGAAAGTCAGAGAAAAACTGTTTTCATACTTTAAGAATTCTAAATGATTAATTTTTAGAAACAATTTGAAGATCCTTGCACCAGTCATTTTACTCTACAGTTCTTTTGGAACTCAGATCCATTTTGTTTTCTGACTTTCAGATTTGAAGATTTCTAACTTCTATTTTGTAAGCTGCCTGGAGAATTCTAGTTGGGTGGTGATACGAAAAGATAAGTATATATAAAAGAAATAAAATCTGAATTTATACTGTGTCACATTGGAAATTCACATTTTACAATATTTTCTTTTAAGTAGTGGATGGGGATAAAAATTAAAATTAAAGCAGACCTATAATTTTTTCTGCTGCCCAATATTTTCCAATAGTATCCAACACCCAAGCTTCTTTTCTGTCTACTATCAGATAAGCAGACAGGAAAGTATGGCACATATTTCCATCTTCATAGTAATTTCCACCTTGACCATATTCTTCCAGCAGCGAGACAATGACATCCAAGGCTTCTTTAGCAGTTGAACCTCTTTCAAGCCCAAGTCTGGGAAGGGAATAAAAAAAAAAGCTATTTAGTTACAGAAGTACTTAGAATTTAACTTTAATTTATATACAGAAAAGAAGAAAACAATGTAGCTATCTGTTGAGTAATTAAATAAAGTCTAAGCAGTGTTTTTCAAACTTGGAAACTTGAAGATATGTGGACTTTAACTTCCAGAATTCCTCAGCTAGCATGCTAATTGCCAGGCTGAAAAAGCACTGGTTTAAACAAACAATGATTGCACATGTTTTCTGGGGAATTATTGGTACTGTATAACACCACAAAGTCAACTGTACGACAACAATGCAACAGTTAACCTCACATCTTGAAAAGAGATGTCCTTAGCAGGGGCGGGTTTCAAAACCCATTGCTACCGGTTTGCTCATGGATATGTGTGTGCTCGCGTGCATGTGTGCATGCATGACGCTTTTGCACATGCGCAGAAGCGTCTGAGCAGGTGGCCAGTGGCTGCCGCTGCTGCCGCTACCGGTTTGCCTGATCCGGGGCGAACCACTAGCAAACCACCACTGGTCCTTAGCAAATATGAATGGTAGAATAAAAAACCGCTTCCTTTGTCTTTTTGCAAATATTCTTCAAGAACTGTACTCTCCAGGCTGATACTGTTCAGTTATATTGGTATTATGTTAGTAAGTTCTCAGAAAGTAAAACCAGCATCTTGTTCAACAGACACGGAGGGTGTCAGGTTGAGCAAATCTATCTTGGTTATTTCCTGGAGCCCAATCTGTATCAGCTGTAGATCAACTATTTAAAAAAGAGAAAAGGGAGGAAGAGGAAGAGAATAACTGTAGAGGAAAGTTTTATTTTAAAAATGCAGCTGGGTAATTTGAAATCTATTCCAGATAGCTTTGCAAATTGTTGTCTTCTAGGTGGACAGGATGTTGGATAAACATTAAGTGTTTGTGGTTTATTAAAGTGCTTAAATGAATAAAATAGCTTACTGAACCAAATTCTATTTAACAGGAAAAGGAGGCAGAAAAAGCTACTAATTTTTTAAAAGTGTCAAGAACAGTCTGATTAGCAGTTTGGGGGTTATAATGAATTGGGCACAAGAAAATATGTCAAATATAATTACTATTACTCTAGGATGAAACAATGGAGGGAATAAATCTCAATGTGTGTGAGAGAAAGGGAAAAAGGAAGGATGGATGGATTTTCTGGGTCCATAAGCAGACCTCAGAGAATATGTAGCTTTAGCTGCTAGATCTTGTCCATGAATTTTAAAAAAATCATTAATCAGAGGTAGGTTTCACATAATTTTACCACCAGTTCACCACACACCAAACGTGTTAACGTGCATGCATGCTCGCTTCCCTCTGCTCGCGCGCGGCTTGCATGCATCCATGCAGCTTAGAAAACATGGCTAAACAGAACAGCATAGTGCCAGGGCAGATTGCCACTACCAGTTCGCCCGAACTGGCTGAATACCACCACTGTCATTAATATACTGTAATACACTGATAGAACAGAATATTGATGGTTCAGGGTTGAACTGTGGGCTTCACTTCACAAAGTCTGAAATAATAATTACATTTTGCATATAATCTGATAAATACACTTGTGCATCACTATATTTGAATGAATTTTGTTTTTTGTTTTTGAAACAGAGTGAATTTTGTTTTTGAAACAGAGTGACCAAAAGTATTACCAAAAGTACTTACTTACTTACTTACCGTATTTTTCAAAGTATAAGACACACCGGAGTATAAGACACACCTACCTTTTTTGGTGAGGAAAAGAAGAAAAAGAAATCTCCCTCTGTCTCTGAGCAATTTTGCCTCTTTGCAGCAAACCGCAAACAGCCTGCTTTACTTTCATTTTCGTTTTCAGCATAGCTTGATTAGCACAAGGAAAAAAAATATATGTTCCAGCAATTTACCTCTTTGCAGCAAGCAGCTGAGCCCTGCGCAAAAAAAACTGAGAGCAAATCAGCTGAGAGTCAGGAGGCCAATCCAATCAACTTGTGCTAATTAGGCAGTGCTGAAGCTGAAAGGAGATGCTTTTTCTTGCTGTTTGCTTGCAAGAAGGTAACTGCTGGGAGGCAGAGGCCAAAGGGTGGGGGCCAGTGGGTGGGCAGGGCTACATTCAGTGTATAAGATGCACCTAAATTTTCACCCCCTTTTAGGGGGGAAAAAGGTGTATCTTATACTCTGAAAAATACAGTACTTACTTACACTATTGAGGGGCAAATGACATGAGTTTTGTAATTTGTTAACTAACATAGTTACTTTGTATTTTAATTTGATTTATTTTCTCTCTTTTAAAATGATGTTCAGGTTTATTAGCTTTTAACATTCTTAAACTGATAAGCAATCTGGAAATTAGCTCCAGATAAGAAACAGTTTCTAAGTACAAATTGGGGTGGTCTGGTTTATTTCTTTTGTGAACTCCAAACAACTTTGTTCCTCCAATTACACCTTCTTATGTCAGATCTCATTTTAGTGAACATGTGCGATATTATGGGATGCAAATGTGTAACATGTTTGACTACATGTAACTGATTGCTTATGCAAAGGGGAGGTTACTTTTACCCTGTCCAATCAATTTTCCTCTTGCATTTTCTTTGTTGTGTTAACTATAAAAAGGAAGGAAACATGGGGTTCAAGGTTTTTTCTCTTCCTTGATAAAATGCCATTTTATCAAGTTACCCTAATAAATTGATCTTTATTTATTTAAGTGATCTTCCAACTCAGTTGCTTATTGGGAAGGTAAACTGAGGTAGAACCTAGGGCCAGATTTGGCTTTCTCGATCTATCTATCTAGCTGTCTAGCTATTTATCTATTTACCTACCTCCAGTGTTTTGTGAGATTTTCAGAATCACTATACCAAATGATACGTTGTTTTTAATCTGCTAGTATTCTGGACCAGTCCCATAAATTCCTTGTTCATAAGATGAGCTTCTCACCTCACAAGATCCATTCCCAGGAGAGCTTCAGTTTCAGAGGCTGCTTCTCTGGCTAGCACAGCTTCATTAGCAATGAAGACTCCATGTTCATTGGCTCCCATTTCAGCCCCCCAGAGCCAGGAAGGTCTGCTCAGTGCAATAGCATTTGTCTTAGGTACTTGATCTATTTCAATGTATGTGCACTGTACAGAAAAAAGGAGATTCATTTATTTATTTAATAGATTTTATCCCACCTTTATTACTTTAGAGTGATTCAAGGCAGCAAACATTCATTATGCTCCATCTTCCTCCTCTTTCCCCCCGCAACAACAACCCTGTGAGGTGGGTTGGCCTCACAGCCACTAAGAAAGTGACTGGCCCAAAGTCAGCCAGATAGTTTTCATGCCTAAAACAGAACTAGAACTCATGGTCTCCAAATTTCCAGGCCAGTAGTTTAGTATATCAAATTATTACTCAGTCTTCATCTTAAAATGTTAATATTCATTTTAGATATTGGAATGGACTACATATAATTTTTATTTTAATAAACACTAAAGCATTCAGGTTTGCATGAAATTCCTAATAAATTCTTCCTCAACCTGCAATGTTCAAAATTCCCAGCTACAATGGCTAAATTCTAGAAATTGCTGTCTGAACATCATGAGTGAAGCTAGATTAGAGAAAGCCATTGTATTGTAGTTTATTATCTTATTACAATTAAACATGAATTATATAAGCAGCCTTAAAGAGTTATAAGAGAAGCTAGGTGACTTATGCCTACAATCTTTTTTAAAGATTTCAGATGCATTCATGGCCTCAGCATATCAGAAATTATTATAAATGTAATACTTTCTGATGTGTTGAGGCCATGAATGCATTATTATTATATTTATAATAAAATCTGGATAGCTGAGTCTATAATCTCAATGCTGAAGAACCAAACATCTCTATGAATAGACTACCCTTTTTAAAAAGGCTCTAAAATTGACCATCTGGGACAAATGAATTTATCTAATCACAATCCTGAGGATCCAACGGCCACATAAATTCATTCTACTGAAATACTTATGGTGTTTTTCTGCAGATTTAAAACAGAAGATTTAAATATATCACAATCTGTCTTTGGAAAATAGGAATATCACTGTTATGATGAACATATTGATATCTGATAAAGAAGATCGGTTAACCTCTGTATATACCTGTAATAACTGTATATACTGTTTCAGATAGCAGAACCAATGGGGAACAGACAATTGGAAGGAAGGAAAAGAAAAATAGTATTTTAAGATGCTCTACAAGTGTTTCAACTATTTTCAGAAATATTTTGCCAGAACCTCAAATATTTTTATTTACCTCAACTTTACATCCTGGATCATAAGTAGCAGAAGCAAAATAAACTACCTCCTGAACTTCATCACGAGGACGTGCAGAATTTTTTCCAACTACTACATGGCCATCTTTAGTAGATGGTGGAAATGCAACAAAACAATAACTGGGAGGTGCTACATCCATCCTAAAACATAAAAGGTAGAAGTATATATTAAAGATATTAGTTTGCCTTATTTCGGGATTAGAACCTGTATTAGAACTGGCTGCACAAATTCAGATATAGTTTTTTTTAAAAAAATTAAAAAAAAATTAAAACTATTTATTTAACAACTGCATATAACCTGACGCTATCCATGATTGGGTACGAGAGTAATTACTATTTTCTAGCTTTAAAAGAAATTAGCACATGAAAACTGAGGGCATAATCCAGTTTTATTGATTATTGTTTCGAGTCATTATGCCTGCGTTCAGATAAAATACCTGTATCACTTTTGATGCATGTCATACCAAACAAGATAATGGCCAGAAAATAAAATCTCATTCTTTAAAACTAATGAAGTGACAACTTGCAATAAATTTTTCATTGTCAAGAGCAAGATGCTCTTTTATATATGATATATATTAATTTCAAGAGCAACTGACTGTATACAGTAATGCTATTTTTAAATTGTATACATATTTTATTAAATACAATATTTAATTATACATATGACAACAGCGGCAAGAATAATATAAGCCCAAAATTGGAAAAATAATAATACACCAACGGAAGAAAATTTGATTAGAAAAGTTTTGGAGTGCGCAGAGATAGACAAGCTCACAAAAAAAAAATACAAGAAAAGGAGGAAACAGAATACTATATGGTATGGGAGAAATGGTATGATTGGTTAGAGGAGAGGTATAAAGGGCAAGGAAAGAGTAAATAAGGAAGATATAGGAGTTGAAAAGTAGTAACAAACAAGTGGAAATGGAACAGACATAGAAGGTATGATTGAAATTGAGTACATTATTATCTTTATGTATATAAATCAATATTAGAATCATATGTATAAATGGTAAATTGAAGTATGGGAGAAAAATAGATATGTAAGAAATGTTTACTGATGCAAGAATGTTGAAAAGAAGAAAATTGTAAAAAATTCTTTTTTTGTTTTAAAAAAACTGTTTAATAAAAATTATATATATATATACACACACATACACATACATATACATACATACATACATACATACATACATACATACATACATACATACCTATATGGAATGGAATGGAATGGGGATGGATGCTAACCTCAACTTGAATTAAGGACCTGCTACTGCAAGAAATGAACAAAAATTGTTTTTTTCCTTCTCTAAATTCTACTTATAATCCAAGGCTGATTTTCACAGAAACCGAGGGACACATAAAAGGTATGTGCTATGAAACTAGGATAGCTGGCAAATCTCCAACTCCTGCTTCTTTCTTGGGGTACAGCTGTTACCATAGGTTTTAAATATCTTATTAAGGCTGATTCTCAAGCAGAATTTCTCTGTAGTTGAGTTTTATTTTAAGATAAGGAAGTGCCAGACTTGTAAAAAAAATTGCATGCATTTATAGCACTAGAAATAGGCCACCACACTGTGCAATGGTTCACCCTGAAACAAGCAAGGAAAAGGGGGAGGAGTTGTCTGCCAATCACCTTTTGTTTCAAATGGGTCAGCCATCAACTTTGGGTGCAAATACAGTCACTAGGAAACAGCCTCTAGAAAGCCTCAAGGAGTGTGGGAAAATCAAATGGCTTTGCAATTTCACTGAACTGAAAAAATGGGAGATTGTTAGTTTTTCTGACTTATTGCCCTAATGTTTTAGTTCCATTAACCATGCTCAGGATGCTTCCACTTGTCTGTCATAGGTTGGAAACTCAGCTTAATTGAATTGGTGGCCTGCTTTCTTTGAGTGCCGATCACGATCCTTTTTTAGGATTTCTTCAAAAGTTCAAATATAATAGCCTATGTTTTTCAGGCAACCATTTCTATGGGACCCCATTCCTTCCCCTCCCTCTTTTTTCTTGCTTTTAAATCAACAGAAGCAGATGGGTAGGAGCATGTATTGAACAGTATAAATAAACTCAATGAAAAAATAAATAGCATCCTCCTCATTATGTCTTATCTTTCAGGAAAAATGCCAATATAAACACTGTGATGGGGATAGTGTTTCTTTATTAAATATAACTATTTTATAGATGTTTCTGGATTCTTTACAAGTACTCCAAAACAGGTTTCACAATTAATTTAGACGATACATACAAGCTTGCTTGTCAAAGCGTTTAACCCTACTTCACAGTGAGAACACCAGTCTTCTAGAATCTCTATACCTGTAGCTGTAGTAGTCTTAGTAGCTGCACAGAAACAATTCTGACTGCCTGAAAAAAAAGACTGCATCTTCTGATACCCAGCCCTCCCTGTCCTTTATATGCATCAATGTTACACCTCAACTATGAAACTTCTGATTAAAGATGTCATGACAACATCCTGCCCTCTGATAGCTTTTTATCACCTACATATTGTCCTAATTTATAAAGCATTAATCTACAATAGTGTAGATTTTATTAGAATATATTATCTGTTTGCTTTTAGTTGATTGATCAATTGATCAGTTGGTTGGTTGGTATTAAATGGTCAACAACTCTGCATCTTCATGCTGATTGTAAGTAAATTGGAAAATACTGAATAGGTTTAGCAGCATGAACCACAACATGTAAGACAAGCTATCATTTCTATAACTCTAGACAGTGAAAGCAATTAAGGATCTCAGTATGATATCTTAATCAGTAAATGTACAGTATATTGTTGACTACCATACAAGAAAGCTACCAGCTACTAGCTATCTTAAGTTATTTTATATGATATACTAGTTATCTGTAAATTTCATCCAAACTATTTATTACAACCTTTAAAGTTCTAAGCAACCTATGTAGAAATATGGAGATGGAGATAATTGTAATCTCTTTCGTTATTATGTCATACATTAAAAAGACTTGTAGTCTAATTCTCTGTACTAAGTTTGTTATATAGCTAGAAATTGTACTTGCTACAAAGTGATAATTCAATTGTACTTACCAAACCTTTGGGTAAGAAACCAAAAAGCAATTATCAAAATCTATTTGGGGATAAAACCAAGCAATTGTTCTCAAATATTCAAAATTCTGTTGAATATTCTTTTGCTATTAGTCAGCCAAAAAGGTTGCTCAGATAATGCAGTCTTGTTACCCAGTATTGGGTACTGGGTACACATTGCACAACAGAATTTGTTTAATTTACACTTAACATGCTGTTGAATTTCAATCATCATAGTTAATAAACCATGCTTTATCGTGAAAATCCAGCCAACTGTGGCCTAAGTGTGAAGTAATACCATGTCTACCAGTGGCCATTAGAGGATTTTGAAAACTTACTTTTGAATAGTTAAATGTATGTCTAAATATATAAAACTTTTTCTACCCTAGTAATTTCCAAATGTTTTACAGTGAACTGTAACTCTCGTCATCCCAAAGGGTGATGGAATTTCCAACATGACATATCTGGAGGTACAGAGCTGAAGCTGCCTTATATCTCATCATTTATTTCCTTCTATTTCAGGGTACATATTCTTTCAGCATGTCAGCTGAATGTTGCAAAAGGGGATCACGTAATCCATCAAAAATATGAGTCAGTTGCCAAATGTCTGAATTGAAATCACATGCCTATGAGAATTTGCAACAGTCATAAGTATGAAAAAGGGTCATAAGTACAAGTTAGGGACTTGTACTTCTATGTTTCAAAATTTCTATGAATTATTTATGCAGTAACCTCTTCTATCCTTTACCCCATAATTTTTGTATGACATTTCAAAAAAAAGGCACACCCATCTTCATTCAATATTATGCACAAGGATCCAGTTGGGATGGGATGGGATGGGATGGGATGGGATGGGATGGGTTGAGTTGGGATGGAATGGAATGGAATGGAATGGAATAGAATAGAATAGAATAGAATAGAATAGAATAGAATAGAATAGAATAGAACAGAACAGAACAGAACAGAACAGAACAGAACAGAACAGAAACTGTTCTTGCAGATCAGGAATTGATCCAGGGATTATACTTGGGTTTATGTGTGCTCTGCTACTAACCTATGACCCCTTCCGAGAATGCCAGAGATCTTGTATGGATGCATAGATAGAAGGACTAGGAAAACACAGTTAAAATCTTACATCCCATGGTGATCTATGACTGTAACAATCATTTATTTGATTAGATGTTATCTATAATACAAATAAAAAAGCATGGCTACAAATATATTAGAAAAGAAAAAAGCTTTGCAGATATTTGCCTATAAATGTCATTGGGACTTGCTTCAGTCATGGAACTGACTAAAATATACAAGACTTGCACAATAGACCAAATTCTTTTAAATAGATACTGATATAGATAAGCGATGTTCTGGACACATAACCCAATTCAAGTACAAAAAGATTGAGGAAAAAATGCCTTTAGCAGAGCTAATCAATTATTAAATAACATATTAAAGATTGCAATCTTTAATCTACACTGCATTCATTACATATCAGCAGCAAAAGCAAAGATTGCATCTTAAAATACAAACACTTGGCTTTGAAGAATTACTGAATTACTGTAATGGTAATTTAACAACTGTGTTTACTGAGACTGTTTAATACATTGTTTTTCAGGTTATGAGCCAGGACTTTATTGTTCATAATTTTAGATTGCATCTAGCAGTTTGCAAATTGCAGCAAAGGTTCTTGTTTCAATCTGTCCCTCACTATTGTTACTATTATTTAAAGGCAGCCATCTGAGACAGTCCTGTAAAAATTCTTCAGATGATATACATATCCTTCAGATTATACACACATACACACAAATTTCGTCTCCTTAATAATGCTAAGTCATACCTGTAAGTGAAAGAGAGAGATAGAGCTCATTTAACATTATGTATGATGAATGAACTGATTCTGGTTCCATCAGCTGTCAAAATCAGTAGATATTTAACACCATAATTAAATGGGTATACTGTAATAAGCAGCTACAGTATCTCTTATCTCAATATACCCACTGTTCATCTGAATTATACACAATCTATAATTTATTCTACTTTCAAGTAAGCCCTATAAATATGATGGAGTGGGTGGGGTTTTTTTCTATCATTCTTTTATCATTTGGTGCATTCCAGATGTGTTAAGACTACAATACTTAGAAGCTCAGGCAAATGGAGCCAAAACTGGAGAATAATAATGGGAGTTGTCATTCCAATGTATCTAGGCTGGACCAGGCTGGAAAAGCTCCAGTGAATCAAATTTTATATTCCTCACACTATACTGTGGGGCATAATGTGAACTGATAGTTGAGTGACAGGAAAAGATTTCTATGCATCGTGATACAGGTCGCACTAATACTAAACCATGGTTTGTTTTGCCATGGTTTAGTACCTTAAGAAAAACTGTGGGGATTGGTCTATTAAACCATACAGCACAGTATTTTCAGACCCATATCAGTGACTTCTAACAACATGCCAAGCCAAATTAAAACTGCTTAGCCCAATGCTTGAACCCAACCTAATGCTAACCCTGATCAATGCATTGAAGTAACCATTGTGGACCACGGACCATTGGAACAAAGCTTTTAAAATCTCTTTTTGCTGGTGATCATCCTCACATCCTCTTGCAAAAATCATCACCTACTGCTGAGACATCACTATCCTAGAAGCTCTGAAGCTCTTTCTGATGCTCCTGGTTTCTTTCTAGTAAAAACATCCACGAAAAAGGGAAAGGAGAAAAGGCAAAGGCGATCCACAGCCTTCTCGGTCCCCCCACGGATCTGGCTGCAAAAGAGAGGAGGGGAGGAGAGAAGCCTTGCGAGACTCCCTGAGGCGATTTAGACTGGCGCTGACTGCACATCATACCAAGGCAGTCCGCAGCTCGGAGCCTGAAGGCTGAAGGGCTGAAAGGGAGGCCGGGCTGAAAGCGTTCACAGGCGATGCGCAGCAGCATGCATGCCCTTGACGCCCAGCTGGCATCGCAGAGCATCCTTTCTCCCCCTTCCGGCAAGGAAAGAGACGAGACTCACCTCTGGGGCCACTTTCGAGACGCTTCCCCGTGGATCTTTCTCCGCCGACGGCTGCTTCTCTTTTCGCGGACGCCAGGGGGAAAGAGGCTCGGCTCCAGGTAAGAGGCAGGCTCCCACTCACGTGAACAACTTTGCCAGCAGCACAGGAGAGAGAAGGAGGGAGGGCGGACGTCAGCGACTGCTCTGCCACCTCACCGCTCGGTTGGCGCCGCCTTTGTCGCAGCAGCTGACGCTCGCCTTCCCTGCGCTGGGCTCAGACGGCGGGGCTGCTGCGGCGAGACTAGGGCGGGAGACAGCGGGAGGAGAGGATTAGAGCTCTTTCTGCCATACAGCGGCGGAGGGGGCACTTAGAAAACATCGGCCTGTCCCGGGGTGCGGAACATGAACGCCGCGCTTCTGAGCATGAACAAAGTGACATCTCAAACCAAGTTGCTAAGTAGGAGGGAAATGTAGAAATGATAACATTT